AAACCTTTCTGTCTGGACAGCCCTTCAATTCGTGGCTGCCTCAGTCGCTAGCAGAATCCGTCAGTGGGCGTTTCTTAAACCTTTTCCAACATAAAAGTTGTTTGACACCCAGTCTCCTCCTACTTTCTCTGCGCGGAAGTCTTCTGCGCAGGGAGGGCGTGGGTAGCGGAGGACCAGTGCTCTCCCCGCTGGTGTCCGGTGAAGAGTCTGCGAGCCCTCTCACCGATTCCCCCATCTGCCCCTCCTTATTCCTGGTGTTGCACTGAATTGCTTCCCCATCTGCTGAGCTGCCTCTCTCCCTGCTGGGCCCTTCTCCAGCATCATTAGAGAGCCTTCCCTCCACCTCTAGCTCCGATGTCAGTTCCCTGAAACTAATGTTTAGGTGGAATCTTCTTTCTTGTAGTTTGGATCCATTGCTCCGTGTCCGCTTCTCTGGAGCAGCAGAAAACAACCTTTTATCGTCTTGGTCACAATTATCTTCACATCTACTTGGGAATATGATGCTTCAAGATCTTTGAAAGTATATGTTAACATGGGAATACATGTAATCAGATTTGTTGATTGATCTCTATGCCCCAAGTGTCATAAGAACTCAGGGCCAGGTTTTATTTAAGAGATTCTCCAGTATTAGTTTCTCGGGATTTGGCAGTATGGCAGGTAAAGGGGAACACAAGATTTGTGACAAAGCATGCACCAATTCCACCACTAGGCTACTCAACCCAAATACCCTTGCAGAACAGGGGTGTTTTAAGAAAGGCTTGCATTGCACACACAGGTAGGTTAAGCAAGCCAGGAGCTTGTGAGTCTTAGAAACGTGGCAGAGCGCAGAGCTTGTGGGGCATGGGAGGTGTTGTAAGCCCAATAGCAGGAGTAAGGTCCAGGTCTTCCTGAGATGTTCCAGGGGGTGGCTGGAAGGTGAATCTCTGCAGCAGACTTGTGAAGAAGAGGAAGAGCTCCATTTTGGCAAGAGTCTCACCTAAACATACTCTCCGACCTGTAAGGACACACAGGCAGCAGAGAAACTGGGTTTAGCAGTTGCTTACTAACATCCCAAATACTTTAAAGCAGACTAAAATGCAGAGATCAAATAACAGCTCACGGTGCCCATCTTAAAAGAATTATGACCTCCCAATACGAGTCATCCTGCAGTGCTGAAAAATGGGGGGGGGGTGTCTTTTCAGCCTGAGGGCCACATTCCCTCGTGAGCAACATTCTAGGGGCCGCACACCAATGGTGGCCAGATCTAGTGGCAGAAATGACCACAGGAACTGATGTGATTCTTACCTTTGCACAATAGGCTACATTCCATGCATGTAAAAATCCCATTGACTAAGCACACACTATGCAGGTATACACAAAAGTAAAAAAAAATACCTGCAGAGAAAGGCATGAAAGCATCTCTCTTTATGAATTTCCTTCAGAGTTAAGAAAATGTTCAGGATAGAATTTATGTGGTTTCTCCCATTGAGATTCATCGTGCAGCACAGAAGACAGCAATGGTATGATGTGAGTCCCCTGCAAAAACAAAGCAAGAGTCATTTTAAAATAAAGTGTATGCCTCTGGTACAATAAATATTTAGTGTAGGAGAAATGAGATTTCAGTTCATCTAAGAAATGTCTTTAGTGTGACAAACTTTAACGTATAAGTCATGATATCCCACTAGAAATGGTTTCTTTTCCAACCTTGTGCTCCTTTCCACTGAGATCTGTTTAATGGGTTGAAGCTGATGCCTGACACCTTCCGAAGGGTAGATTGCTTGCTTACAATGCAATTCTATACAAGTCTGCACAGATGTCACCCACACTGAAGTCCAAGGGGCTTACTCCCAGGAAAGCCTTAAAATATATTGTAACTAGTGGGCAGCAGTTCAATGAAATGGATCACCTTTGGAATGAAGTAGCCATTAAGGGTAACATCTGTAGTCGTGGCATGTGGCAGGTTAGTTGGGATGATATTGGCAAACCTCTGGATCTCATGGACCACGGCATCCGTATAAGGCATTTTTGTTCGGTGTTCAATTCTTGGCTGAGAAGATCCAACAACCTTTGCAATTTCTTCTTGGACCTTTACTGGCGGAGAAAGAAAGAAAAGCATTAATTTTTCTGCTCAGATTATGTCTTTGACTTAAAAATTAATATCTGAAGCATAAAACTGCCACAAACTCGTTCTACAATTCCAGAGGTTCAGAAATTTAATCTCTAGAATTTAACAAATGTATTTTTAAGAAGAACAAACAAACAATTTAGACCATAACCTGATATACTGAGGGAGAGATATGCATCCAGGATGATTATTAAAATATCACTGCTGGGAATATTCTGAAGTGGTATCTTTTACACATAAAGGTCAAAAACAAAGATTTGGGGATCCTCCAGACCCTGACAAATTCTGGAGAAAATATGGGAAAGAGTTAGCTGGAGAAAGAGCATTTGAACTGGAAGCTGGACAGGAAGAGGAAGATTCAACAGAGGTAGAGGCAAAAGACAAACAAATAGGGAATATACTCACATACTTAGTCTCTAGAATGTGACACTGGTATTTTTTAAACAGGAAAAACATTTTAGCCAATAACCTGATATACTGATGTAGGGAATTTTATCCAGGATGATTATTAAAATATCACTGCTGGGAATATCCTGAAGTGGTATCTTTTACATATAATGGTAAAAACCAAATATTTCGTGATCCTACCGAGCCATACAAATTTTGGAGAAAAGATGGTGGAAAATTAGCTGGAGAAAGAGCATTTGGACAGGAAGAGGAAGATTCAACCGAGGTGGAGGCGAAAGAGAAATAACTATGGAACAAGATGGCTTTCAAAATTCTAACTGGGAATGTAAATAAGCAAAATAATAAGACTAAATGAATAAAATTGATCATGTTGTAAAGAAGTTAAAACTGGAAGTTATATGCCTCCAAGAAACAGGAAAACTATTAGCTTGGCAAATAAAGAAGAAAGAAGAAAAAACTGCATTGAGAGAATAAAGGTAGGAGGTAGAGTTGTGGAAAATCTGAAAAAAATAATAGATCAATTTGTGAGTTTTTATACAGCACCATATTAAGGCAAATGAGTTAAGGTAGAAGAAATGGGTAAATATTTAGAAGACAACAGACTGCTTAAGATACCAAAAGTTGAAATGTCATTTCTGAATAGCCCTGTCACAATGATGATTTTAGAGCAAGTAATTTTACAGGCAAAATTAGGGAAGGCACCCGGACCTGATGGAGTTTCAGCAATATATTACAGTGGTGCCTCGCAAGACGAAATTAATCCGTTCCGCGAGTCTCTTCGTCTTGCGGTTTTTTTGTCTTGCGAAGCATGGCTATTAGCGGCTTAGTGGCTTTAAGAAAAAAGGAAACAAACTCGCAAGACGTTTCGTCTTGCGAAACAAGCCCATAGGGAAATTCGTCTTGCGGAACGACTCAAAAACGGAAAACTCTTTCGTCTTGCGCGTTTTTCGTCTTGCGAGGCATTCGTCTTGCGAGGTAGCACTGTATTAAAAAATTACAAGATTACCTAATGCAACCTTTAAAAGATATTATAATTATAACTTTGAATACAGGACAGTTACCCAAATCCCAGAAGAGTGTATACATAACATTGATTCATAAACAAAATAGAGATCCAAAGCTGGTTAAGAGCTATTGACCTATTTCGATGTTGGATAACGATTATAAACTGTTTGTAGACACATTAGCTAATATGTTTAAAACTGTATTAAAGAGAAAGCATTTAGGCTCCAGAAAGCATTTGACAATGTCTCCTGGAACTTTATATGTTTAAGGCTTTGGAATATATGGTTTGTGGAGACAGTTTTATAAAAGGAGTTAACTCAATATATACTGATCCATCAGTAAGTAATGTATTGACTGAGAATTGTAAAATAACTAAAGGAAGTAGACATGGTTGCCCACTGTCACCTTCATTGTTTATAACAGTTTTAGAAGTTTTGGCACAAATAAGATGTAATAAAAAAAAATAAGTGGGAATAAAAGCGGGAAAGAGACAATATGAATATAATATAGTATAATATAATAGCTTTTGCAGTTAATGTGGTGATATTTGTTGAGGAACCAATAGAGTCAATCCCAAAGGCATTGGAAAAGATTTTTTATTTTATTTTTTTAGAAATAGCAGGTCTTGAAATTAACAAAGATAAAACCAAACTCCTGGTAAAAAATATGAATGATGAGAGTAAAAATAAATTACAAAGTTTATCCATCTTAAAGAGTGAAAAGAAGATTAAATATTTGGGTGTGTGGTTAAGAGCAAGAATATGAATTTCTATAAGGATAATTATTTAAAAATTTGGGAGGATATTAAAATAAATTTGCAAATATGGAGTAGAATGAAACTTGCATTACTTCAACCATTAAAATGAATGTATCACTGACAATATTCTTTTTGTTTATCCTTATTATTCACAGAATAAAATCAAAATAGAAAACCACAAAATACATAATCAAAATAAAAACAACCACCCAATAACCCCCCTACAAAAAAACCACATTTTAAAAGGTCATGGAATGCTTCAATCAATACCAGTGATCAGGACGACAAATTGTTTCAACAAATGGCAAAAATATATTTCTAAATATATCTGACAAGGAAAAATAAGAATAAAACATAAAAAATTGACAGATGAAAGAGAAAGGAGGTTTCCTCCTGCTGCATATGAGATTTTATTATGAAGCATCTTGTCTATGCTGTTTGAGGGAATGATTGTTATTGAATAATCCACATATTTCAGATTGGGACGGTCATGATAATATTTTTGGTTGGCACGCTTACTTGAGGTATGAAAATGTGAAAGTACATAAAGGATTTACAAACCATATAATCAGGGAAAAAATGTATGGAGTATGGGATAAGTATAAAAACCTGTTGGAGACCAAAACACCACTATGGCTTTCACTTTTGGAGAATTTACCGGTAAATTAATTTTTAAAAAAGATTTATCAGAGATGTTAACAACATGGTTACAATATCATCATTTGAATGAAGTCTTTAAAAGGGATATGAAGCGGGGGGTTGCGGAACAAACATCACAACTGGAAAGAGACCTGTTAAACTGTAATGTTAAAGTGATATGTAAAATGTATAAGATCTTATTGGAATGGGAGACAAAGGACGAACAAGTGAAATCTTCAATGATACACTGGGCAATAGATATTAGTAATAATACAGAAATGGAGGCATGGGAAAGTTTATCAAACGTGGATATAAAATTTACAGAATGTTTTAGTTTAAGAGACAGCTATATGAAAATGTTACATAGATGGTACCTGACACCTAGTAAATTGGTTAAATGTATAAATCCAAACTGAATATGTGCTGGAAACATAAAGAGAAAGAAAGTACTATTTTTCATATGTTTACTGGGAAATGATATATGATGAACTGAAAAGATGTTTATGATGTTTAAAAAGCCATAAGCTTTTCTTTTGGAAATTATGAGATCAGAACTACCTAGAAATTTATTTAGTATAGAGTACTTAGAAATTTATTTATGTATGCCATTTATATAAATTCATACAAATTTGTTTATGCAACCATTGCTGCAAGATTAATATTTGCTCAAAAATGGAACGATGAAGAGGTCCCGACAAGAGAAGAATGGATACAGAAATTAATGGACTACGCAGAAATGGCAAAATGTACTCGGAGAACAAGATTATTCTTATTTTTAGAAAGCAATGGAAATGGTTTATTACAAATTTACAAACAAACTGTAAACATACTAAGACATTGGCAGGATTAATGTAAAAACCCGCAGTTTCAATATATCTATTGGATATATACGGGAATATATATCTAAAATAATATGTTGAGATAATCTGGAGTATGCAGGAATATGAATCGAAATGTAAAGAACCACAGAAAGAGGGAGAAGGGAGTCCAGGTTGAAATGTTAAGCTTATGACTGAACAATTGTTGTGATTATACACACACACACACATATATATATATATATGCAAATTATAAATATTTTCTCTCTCTAATAGTTACATATAACTGGAATTAAGATATCTCAGAATAATGGGAGCCAACCCAATTAAAAGCACTCACTCTGAATTTCAGGATATTTCATCATTAGTAACAGTCCCCAGCACAGTGTGGTAGAAGTGGTCTCCATGCCAGCACCAAATAAGTTGGCCACAACAGCTTTTAAGTTTTTGTTATGGAAATATACATTCGTCTTCTTCTTCTTCTCCTCCTGGGTTGCAAAGAGTATGAACTGATTAGAATGGATGCAGTGAGAAAATTTCATGTACAAAGATGAAAATGAATACCTGACTGAACCCGATGATCCAAAGTATCATTGCACATCACTTCAGTAGCTAAGTAGTGAGAGATGCCAGGCTTTCCAGACTATGCCATCAGGATGATATAGGGTTTATTTATTTATTTTAAAATAAGGTTTATTAATTTTCCAATAAAAATATTACAATTATTAACAAATTAAATGAAATAATATACCATATTACCAATTATATATTCCAAATTCAAAGAAATTTAAAAGGTAGGATTCCTCATTTCCTGGGTTTCAGAGATAATATATTTATTTGTTTTCTGCTTTCTTGTTAATTTCCAGTTTCCAAATTCTGATTAACCATCCTTGTCTTCTCAATCAATCATTCACTGGTATGTGACTCCCAATCTTGTTTTAACAGGAGCTTTTATTTCAATATTTCCCTCTCTTAGATTATTTTAAAAGATAGTTCTCTCTTGGTGGCACCTCCCTCTGCTGAAAGTCCTGGGCTTCCATCCAAAGTTAAGAATAACGGCCAAGTTTTCTCTTTGTTCTCTTTTGATGAACTGATGTTTTGAATGTGTCCAGTAAATGCAATTCGGTGAGGGTGTGCTTCATAAACAGTAAGTTATATAGAAATTGTTCTTCTATGCACTCCATATCCCCCTACCAGTTTCCCGGGCCCTAGGAAAACCAGCAGGCACCCAAAATTTGCTGTCACTCTCTCTTCAAACCATGTGTAAAAATATATCCATGCAAGCAAATGCATTTTTATGTAAATACACACATTTTTATAATCGAGAAAATATTTCCAGCCTCTCTGGGGAAGGAGGATTCTTCTTTTTGTAAGTGTGCAGCAACCGCAGCCATCTTATCTCCTCTTCAGCCCAAGCCACTTCAGCCCAAGCAACTGTATAATTTAGCAGATTTTTCTTTCATTTCCTCCATCCAAGAAACGCCCGTTTTTGGTCTGAATCTTAGTAATTTTTAAAAACAGGTGTCCCTGCTCGAGAGATTGAATCCAGAGAGTTCTTCTGTGCCAGGGTCCAGCACCCAGTGTCCTCTGCCCCCACATCTTGTTGTGGGTGACAGATATCAGACGATCTGTGGGTGAGACAGCCCCCTCATCCCCTGGAGGGGTCAGCAGGACAAATTACCCTCATATTAGTCTTGAATTTCTGGCACAACTGGGTGTCCTATCTCTTGGGAAGCAGCCATATCCCTTGGCAAGAAACAGGAAGTCCGATATAGGGTTTATTTACACATATATACATCCCGAGCATAAGATAGAGGGGCTCAGACCACAAAACGTCTTGCTTCTCCATAGTCACAGCTGTTGTTCACCATCTACCAGCTAAGAGAGGAGGTCGGGGAAGCTAGGCAATCCAGCTCCTCCTTCTCTGATGCGAATCGTGGTGCTTAACTACTTAGCCAACAGCCTTTGTTTAGACAAAGGAACTAGCGGCAGTATTTAGATGACAAGTATATGGCCCTCATCTCACAAAGAAACTTGTCTGCCTGATTCAATAATAGATTCAGTTCCATTAGAATTAACCCTTACTGGGTACAAGATCCCCACAAGCTGGAACGTGCTCAGGCATCATGCAGACTGACCCCACAAACCTGCAACAGTATTATGATTGCATACATGGAAGGCAGAATTTCTGGCGAACACTTGTGGAGATCTGAAATCAGCGTTACCATAAAGTGTTGTTTTCTGCTGACATATATGGTTCTCAGTTGAACTTCTTTAATGCATTTACTCATAGTCTTTAATGTATTTACTCATAGTCTAAACTGGAAAAATGACACAGAAATACCACATATTCATCTGGAACTGTTTCATTAAACTGATATAGACAATGTGGTGCCCTCCATATTTTTGAGATTGCAACTCCCTTCAGCCACACTTTCTAACAGGAAGAGTAACACCGATAGAGTTGCTGGTTGTAATAGCTGCCTGTCCTGCTGGGAGCCAGAAGGGAGTGAAGAGAGGAAGGAGTTCATCCAATTGTTCATTCAATAGTTGCCGTACGGCACCGACCAACAGTGGTGTGTTTTTCGGGATATTCACCATACTGAGCACTTTTTCTAAGATCCACACAGTCCTTGCTTATCAGGGATACATTCCTAGCATTTCTCTCTCACAAAGGTGCAGCCATGCAGTTTCACATTACAACCAGCAGATTCACAAGTGAGGCGGAGGATCAAAAGCAGAGTGAAAAAATATTAAAACTTCTTAGCTGTTTAGAACCTTTATTTGGTACATATGCTAAAAGATGCTTTTCAACAACTTATATTTCCACTATTATTTTGCTGCATATTTTGTCCTTTTTAAATCTATGCTGTAGTTCTCTCACGAAACAGTACTTGCCCAAAACTTGGATCTTAGCATCCAATAATTCTCCTTTCTACCATTTCCCCCCTATCTGCTCTCCCAAATGGCCATCCTGCCGATCTAAAAGTGGCTCAGTCTCAGACTGCCGTGAATTTGCAGCAGGACAAACTAGAAACCAAAAAGAAGAGAATTTTTAAAAGAGAAAAGAAAAAGAAAAGAAAGGGGAAGGATAACAATTCTAAGATCTTTATTATTTATACCTGAACCCTTATTCCAGACCCAGAAGAGCGAACCCTCCCAGTTCCCACCTCTTTCCTCAGCTTCCCACCCTGAGGGATCCTCTCTGCATCTCACACAGATGTCCATCTTTGGTCCATCTCCTTCCTGAGGGTATCTTCATTTATCCAAAATATATAACTTCAAAAAACAAAACATACATACAAATAGAACGTACAGAGAACTAACAATGATTAAAAGTCACAGAAAAAGCAAGCTAAAAAATAAAATAAAGCAAAGGAAGAAAAGTAGTATTCCGCATCTCTGTATGTGAATTATGTATATAACTATTATTCAAAATATTCAGATTTTCACAACAGCTTCTTTTATTTGTTTCATCCCTTTATACAGCTGTAAAGCTGTTGTTTCCCCATTTAGGCAGAGGAAAGTCCAAGTCTTTTCCCACAGGTTCTATAGATTATTTCATCTGCAATTGCATCTCTGATTAAATCTCTCCAAACTTTCTGCACATCTCATCTCTTAACTGTGCTAACTGTTCATTATGGCATTTTCATATATTTTCAAGAAGCAATGAAGGAGTCAGTTATTTTTGCCTGATTTATGAGACACACACCCCCTTGAGCGTCTCCGTTATGCTGCCCTTGTGATGCAGATAGAATTCACTTTTATTTCCCAGTCAGGATAGCACGGGAAAGACAGGAAGAAAACAGTTTTACAGGCAATGTAGATTGAAAGTTAAAAGCAAATTCAGGTGTGATGGCCTGGGATTCGGACTCGGAGGCTGAAACTGAGGGATCCCAGCCTGCACAGGATTCCCCACCTCCAGAACCAGCTGAGCCAGGGCTGGGGCTTGAGCCTGAAGGGTCCTCACCTGTGCTGGATCCTCAGGTGCAGGCATCAGCTGAGTCTACTCTGGCTCCTGAGGTGATGGAGGACCCATTGCCTGCAGGTACTCCACTCTCAGCCCCGTCAGAGGAAGCTGAGGTTGCCTCTGGGTCCGGAACAGTCAAGCCTCTTCTGAGCTGCAGAGGCTCAGGGCAGAGAGGAGGAAGGAACTAAGTTCCTGCAGGAGGAGTGCTCGCCTCCAGGCCAGGAGAGGCAAATCACCAGAAGATCGGGGCCGCCCTATGCCTCGGGGCAGATAAAAGCCGGCCAGCCCCAGTCCCAGCTTGCGAGAGCAACATTGTTGGTTGCTAGTTTCTGCCTGGACCCTGTCCTGCTTTCCTGCCTGAGCTCATGACCCGCGCTGTCTCCCTGCTTGCATGCCTGTTCCTGACTTCACCCGACTCCCTGCCCTGCACCCAGCTTCAGCTACTATGGACTGCTTCCATGTTGCGCCTTTGACCACAGACCGGACTTGGACCTCGCCTCTCGGGTAACCCATGGGACCAGCACACCAGGCTTGTATATCTGCTTTAACTTTTCAAACTCATCATTAATTAGCTTAAGATTTTAGAAATAATATCCAACCTGTTATTTAGAACTTTGTTGTCACCCAACCACCTGTTTCCTTTTCTGGGTGCTAATTAAATGATAAGCAGAAACTCCAATTCATGTTCATTTCCAATCTTAGTAATGGTTAAAAGAACTGAAGGCATAATTTAAGGGTGATTGGTCGGTGCATGGGCCAATGTTTTTTCCTTGCTCTGAGATGCCTCCCCACCCTCAAAGCTTCCTATCTCCTCCAGTGTGAAGAACGCCTTCTTCTGAGCACATGAGGCATTATCCCATCCCCCCTTGTATCAAAAGGGAGTCTGGCAACCAATATTTATGACTTGATTACCTCTCATCACTGCATAATTATCTATAATTACATGTTTTCTTGATCAGGGATTTTTTTCCAGAAATGCTGTTGAGCATGCAACCATTGACCCTGCAGAGGCAACTTCTGTAACACATTAACAATAGCCGACTATTGGGAAAGGGGAGGAAGTATGCCAGGTTGGTCCCTTCTGAAGTGAGACTTCCTGACTACAACTTATGCATTCACTTGCGAATATGCCCTCAAAACATGAATTGAAAATGGCAACGCTTATTCTGGGCCAACTTAAAAGACTCCATTACCTCTTGCTGTTGGATAAGAAATGAGTCAATAAAGCTCCTCTGGTCATTTTCATCCAAATCTCTGAGGTGTTTTATGAAGGTGGCATTTATGAAGGCAAACAGCTCATCTCTGTTTTGCTTGATAGTCTTATAAGCCCCCAGAAGAAAACGAAGAGCAGGAAACATGTTATACAGCTGAAAGGATAAAAATGTGAAAAGAGACATTAGAAAAACTCAGTATTGTACTCTCAGCTGGGTCTCTCAGAGCATGACTGCCCAAATACAAAACAAAACTCTTGAATGCCATTTGGAATGGGGTTAGGGCTACCTCAGCATAGCATAATTTATGTTCAACCCCAAAATAATATGCTATGGCAGTTCTCTTGCCTTCAGAGAGGGAGATCTGCCCTTGGAGGCCCCTTCTGAGCCATCATGGAACAAACAATCACTTCTTCTTCCTTGTCCTTGGAGTCCCGATGGCAGTGAGGCCAGAAAGCGTGTGTGCAAAAGAGACTTTATTATAGTTACGGGATGACTGTACCGTGTGAGTTTTCTAAATATTTTGAATTAGCACCAGGTTTCTCAAGATATCAATATTCTGTGTTTTGTAGTGAACCCTGAACAATATACAATAAACAGGTAGCCCTGCCCACTTTGCATACACTGTTATTATAATCAACTGTTTGTTTGTTTTAATTGTAAAAAATATATTACCGTGACTGAAAAGCTTCCGACGAGTCGGATATTTTCATTGACCAACTTCAGAAGTCTTATGTATGTGGGATCTTCATAATCAAATCGCTTGTCTAGTAGTAGGGCCACTATTATATTGGCAACAGCTGCATTCATAATTGTGGTGGTCTCAAATGGGTTTCCTATACATAAATATGACAGTTAAACAAAAATACACTTTTAAAAATGTGGGATGTAAAACACATAGGAGTCAAGTACAACATTCCTAGAATGGACATGCTATGGGATGCTTTCTAGCAGCCAGGAGAAAACTTCCTGTTTCCTGTTTCCCCTGGATGTTGCCGTAGCTGGGCTAAGAAATGCTTGGAAGTCACAGGAGTTATTGCAGTGCAATCTGCACATTACAGGAACAGACCAATTGCAGGGAACCCTGGGATCTGTGCTTCTGGAAGTTAGGAATATGTAACACAATAGTCTTGGCACCTTTAAACAACGGTAGTGTAGCTATGCACCAGAGGAAAACACCAACCCACCTTCATAAGATTCAAATTTCTTTATCAGGACACTGCATTCCTCAACAATTCTGTCCTCTATGGTCCTCTTTCCCATTCCGTAGTCCCGTAATGTGCTTAAAGCAAACCGCCGCATCACTTTCCAGTTTTCACCATTAGACTGAATTACACCTAAAGAGACGGGAGGAAAGCTTTCATGTCTGCATGGCCATTGTACAAAAATATCAATAAATTGTGTTCTGCATTTCTTTCATGGAACTGAGAATGGATCCCAGCTATTCTCCCATTCAGACTTCTGAGCTTTAACAAAGCAGCTGGCAGCTGTGCCATCAGAGCATGACCTGAGAACCCATTGATCAATATTTTCCATTACAAAGTGTAGGCTAGAGTGGAGGGTGGTTTTTACATGTCAGGGATCCCATCAGAACTCTGCTTGTTACTTTGTATTCCATTATGCCTCCTTCATTTTTCTTCTATATATAGGCTGGGGCAGAAAATGGTCAGTCAGTTTCCCCTTGGTGTGTGGCATTACTTTGCTGTGTGACTATTATTCACAATCCTCCTGTCTCATTCTCCCCCACCTCTACAATATGACTGTTGGGAAGAAGGTGGGAATGGGAAAGGTTTGCTTTAAATGGTCTCCATTTTTGTTTCTTCAACAGAGCACCACTGAGCCACTGAAAGTCAAGACCAAAAAAGTTGGCCTGGTCTACTCTTTTTAACATTTTAGCTTGATCTGCAGAAATTGACAGGCGACACTTTTTGTGACACATTCTCAGCCTAACGCCTGCAGATACACTGTCAATGTCAAAGGCACTGAGGTTGGTTGAAAAATTCACAAGGATTTCCCCCACAGGAAACAATGGATTTCGATGACTTGCTTTGCAAACACTCATCTTACAAACCATTTCTTGGGAACATATTGTGTTCACCTGGTGGGACCAGTGTGTGTTTGTAAGCATTACCAGTTCCAATAGAAGGGAGGTGCCTCACCAAAGCCTTGTGCAAGCTCTTGAAATAATGGAACAATGGGCCTGTCAGCAAATGCGTCCGCCTGATTAACCAGAGCCTCCTTTACTGTCTCATATCCTGTCAACACCACAGTTTTCTGGGGTCCCATTTGGATGCTGAAGACAGGGCCATACTGCTTTGACAACTGGAATTCAACAGAAGAAAAAGTGAGAAACAGAGTTCTGGCATACCTAAAGAATATATTAATGCAAATCGTCTCTGACAGAACCAAGACTGCATTAACAACCACCCAGTCTCAAATCTTCCATTCTTTTGCAAGGTAATTGAGTGGGTGGTTGCTGAACAACTCCAGGAACGTCTAGAGGATGCGGTCCATTTGGATCCCTTCCATTTGGGATTCAAGCCTCATCATGAGACTGAAACTGCGGGTCAGTGATTTCCAGCCGGCTAAGGACAAAGGTGAAAGCTGTTTCCTAGTTCTGCTGGATTTCTCAGTGGCCTTTGATACCATCGACCATGACATCCTTCTGGACCGTCTAGAGGGGCTGGGAGCTGGGGGCACTGTTATACAGTGGTTTTGCTCCTTCTTCCTGGGCTGTGTCCAGAAAGTGGTGTTGGGGGATGAGTGTTCAGGCCCCTGGGCTCTCACTTGTGGGGTTTGCGGATAATAACCAGCTCTACCTCTCTTTTAAATAAAAACCATTGAAGGCAGTGAAGGTCCTGTGTGAGTGTCGGGGGGCGGTTGGAGGATGGATGGTGGCTGACAGATGGAGGTTGAATCCTGACAAGACAGAAGTACTGCTTTGGGGGGACAAGAGGCAGGCAGGTGTGGAGGACTCCTCGTCCTGAATGGGGTAACTGTGCCCCTGAAGGACCAGGTGTGCAGCCTGGGAGTCATTTTGGACTCACAGCTGTCCATGGAGGCGCAGGTCAATTCTGTGTCAACACAGCTGTCTGGTACGCAGGCTGAGACCCTATCTGCCAGCAGACTGTCTTGCCAGAGTGGTGCATGCTCTAGTTATCTCCTGCTTGTACTACTGCAATGTGCTCTATGTGGGACTACTTTTGAAGGTGACCTGGAAACCGAAACAAATCCAGAATGTGGCAGCTACACTGGTGACTGGGAGTGGCTGCCGAGACAATATACCACTGGTCCTGAAAGACCTACGTTGGCTCCCAGTACATTTCAAAGCACTATTCAAAGTGTTGATGCTGACCTTTAAAGCCCTAAATGGCCTCGGTCCGGTATTCCTGAAGGAACGTCTCCACCCCCACCATTCAGCCTGGACACTCAGGTCCAGGGCTCAGGGCCTTATGGTGGTTCCCTCACTGTGAGAAGTGAGGTTACAGGTTACAGGACAGAGTGCCTTCTTGGTAGTGGCACCTGCCCTGTGGAACGCCATCCCAACAGATGTCAAGGCAATAAACAACTATCTGATTTTTAGAAGACACCTGAAGGCAGTCCTTTTAAGGGAGGTTTTTAATGTTTGATGTTTTATCATATTCTTAGTCTGTTGGGTGGCGGAAACCCAGCCAGATGGGCAGGGTATAAATAATAAATTATTATTATTATTCAGTTGTGGCAGAACAAATATTTGCTAGGAATAATCAGAAAACCAGAACAACATAGGCAGTTGTAAGGATAAAAGTGATTATACCTTTAATGGCACCTCTCAAATCTAGTTTAGAAAGATAAGCTGAAGGAGGAGGCTGGGCTAGGCAAGGTTTGTATTGGCACTTTTGCATCCTTGAAAATGGAGGCAGAGTCAAACGGGATTAGACACCAGACACCCCCAGACACCTTGTTCAAATTACCAGTTATAAATTGCAACTAAGTCCTATGATTGGGAAAGTTAAGAGGCGGTTCTGTAGCATACAAAGGGGAGATGAGATTTATAGGCTCTAAAAGAACAAAATGTATTCTATTACTGATACTATTATTAATAATAATACTAATTTTCTACTCCGCTCATCTGATTGGGCTGCCCCAGTACCCTTCAGCCTTGCCATGGGAAGAACTGGAATCTTTACCTTTAACATGGTTCTGTAAGGCCTCTTGCGATCCATGATGTGGAGATTCCCAATGAGAGGTAAAGGCCTTGGTCCTGGTGGAAGATTTTGGGAGCTCTTGTTCCAGAAAGTGCCCAGTTTCAAAACAAAGGAAACCATAAGGATAAAGAGGAACAATACTGGAATCGGCTCCGTCCAATCCATTTTGTTTCAGCAAGCAATTTGTTTTGCAGTGGTTATAAGGAAAGCTACAGTGCAGTTTGGTTGAGGACAATGTCCTGCAACTGCAGTGAGCAGCATATATGTTATGCTAGGTGCTGTCTCGAGCTAATCATTAAACCATATTAAACTCTCTTGAACCTGGATGCAGATCTGTCACCCAGATTATGTGTAAAATTAATCTGTTATAAGGGGAGTAAAGGACAGCATTGTGAAATTCTTTGGAGTAATCAGTGAACTGCATTCAGGGATGGATTTCTGAAAGTGCACCAGTATGGACTTCTGGAGAGGCAAGATGGCAAGCACCACAGCAGCATGGAGCTCCTGAGGACCACAAGCACCAATGGCGCTGCCTGGCTGGTCCCAGCACCACTACCATGGCTGGGAGGGGGGCGCATTATTTCATTAAAGGCGAGGCCATGCATCAGAACAAAGCATTGAAAATGCGTTTTTCTACCCTGCTGGTGCAATCCCCAATGGTTCATAGACTCATAGAATCATAGAGTTGGAAAAGACCACAAGGGCCATCGAGTCCAACCCCCTGCCAAGCAGGAAACACCATCAGAGCACTCCTGACATATGGTTGTCAAGCCTCTGCTTAAAGACCTCCAAAGAAGGAGACTCCACCACACTCCTTGGCAGCAAATTCCACTGTCAAACAGCTCTTACTGTCAGGAAGTTCTTCTTAATGTTTAGGTGGAATCTTCTTGCTTGTAGTTTGGATCCATTGCTCCGTGTCTGCTTCTCTGGAGCAGCAGAAAGCAACCTTTCTCCCTCCTCTATGTGACATCCTTTTATATATTTGAACATGGCTATCATATCACCCCTTAACCTCTTCTTCTCCAGGCTAAACATGCCCAGCTCCCTTAGCCATTCCTCATAAGGCATCGTTTCCAGGCCTTTGACCATTTTGGTTGCCCTTCTCTGGACACGTTCCAGTTTGTCAGTGTCCTTCTTGAACTGTGGTGCCCAGAACTGGACACAGTACTCAGGTGAGGTCTGACCAGAGCAGAATACAGTGGCACTATTACGTCCCTTGATCTAGATGCTATACTCCTATTGATGCAGCCCAGAATTGCATTGGCTATTTTAGCTGCCGCGTCACACTGTTGGCTCATGTCAAGTTTGTGGTCAACCAAGACTCTTAGATCCTTTTCACATGGCCCACCGACGCCCCTTCTCATGGCCCACCAACGCCCCTTCCTGGCCCGCCCCTCGCAGCCCCAGCAGGAAGGAAGCGAAGCACCAGCGGGCAAGCAGGCGATCTGTGGAGCAAGGCTTTTTCCTGGATGACGGGGCAACCCGCCCATGACTCCCAAGCCTACAGTGAGCTGGGGGAGGGGGGAGCTTTGCCACTTTGCCAGCGGCCCCGACAGGCGTAGGCTTGGGAGTCGTGGGCAGGGATACACATGCAGAGTGTCACCCTCCCTCAGGATGTCACCCGGTGTGGCCCACCCCCACGCTCAGCCCCTGAACAGAGCTCCAAGGCCTGGGGGTCTCCAGAGCCAAACAGAAAAATACCAAAGACCTCCATATAAAAACCTGGCAACCAAAAGGCTAACACTGTCTAAAAGACTTCTTCAGAAACAACAAAACTACAGTGCAGTTTGGTCAACAACAGTGTCTACCAACTGCAATGAGCAGCCAATATATTATGTTACATAATGTTTCTAGCGAATCATTAATCATCCCTCTGATTTTTCAAGTGGGTGGTGCTTACTTGCAGAAACTAATGCTTTCCAGAACATAGCTGTCAACCGTCCCTTATTTGGTGGGAAAGTCCCTTATTCCAGCGCTGTGTCCAGCTGCTGTCCCTTATTGATGATGTCCCTTAAATTTCCCGGGTTTCAAAGGAAGTAGCTCCTCTCCCTCCCTCCCTGCCGGCCAGGGAGGAGGGAGGCTCCAACTGTGTTGCTTGGCTGCGTTGCTCACCCAATAAGGAGTCTAAGAACGACTGGGGGGGTGTAGCTTGCATGCTTTGTGCCGATCAAATTGGCCACGTTGCCTGGGGACTCGCCTTTGCTCAGTGCTTCCCAGCTGAGAGGTGACGGTGGTTTTCCTTGCTGCATCCCCTTGGCCGGGTTGCTGCGCTGTGGGAACCACCGCTTGAGGCTTCGTTTGGCTGCTGGTTGACTAAAATCCCTTATTTTGGCTGCTGAATCCTTATTTTCAAGGCTGCTGGTCCCTTATTTTCAAATCTGCAAGTTGACAGCTATGTTCCAGAACAGATCCAAATGCTCTTGAAGGCGGCGAAGTCATCATTCAGGATTACCTGTAAACTTAGTTTGTTTGTTACACTGGGAGTAGATAGCAGCATTGTGAAATCATTTGCAGATGAAATTATTCCACTTTAATTAGGTACGACTGCATTGTGTCCAGTATTTCCTGAACTTTCTCCCATTGAAACACTCACACATATTTTTCTTTTTAGCATAGTTTTTATTCATTTTTATCTTGAAACTGTTGAACATGGTGGCATTAGGGTATATCTTTGTATACATTAGAGCATATGACATGCAACAATGTGAACAAGGAAGGACAATAACTAAACCGTACATCCTCTCATAGTGCCTAAATCCATTCCTACAAAGGTTATGGGGCCCAGTGAAGACAAAATTCAAAGTATTATAGTGGGTGTGGCTGGATTTTCTTAAGAGAGAAGAGAGATTCAAAGCGGGCATTTTTTCTATTTCCTGGTGAGCACATGATGGCTTCCACTGACTCCAGTGTGAAAGGGATTAGCTCCCTCTTGCCTCTCAGAGCAGTAGCTAGTCCAGATACAGAGAGAAGATGGCTGTTTTATTCTAAGCCAGAAACAGAAAGTCACTTAACTAACTGACAGCATGGAGATGCCAAAGGCAAACCCATCTATTGCTACAGACTTTTTAAAGAACCAGGAGGAAACAAAGCCATTGCCTGAAAACAACAAATACAGGTCAGCAATACTTTTATACCTGACCATGACATGCAGGTTGGTTATATCAAATGCAGTGATTATTCTGAGCAGAAAAGTGAAAGTTCCTACTGAACATGACTGGACAGCTATCAAGAGAGTTGTCAGACATCTAAATGGTATAATGAACTGTAAATTAAAGTTGCCAACTTACAGTGATCCTGAACTGGTAGGTTACATGGACACTGAATGGGCTGGGGGTGCAAAAAACTATAAATCTGTGGGTGGGTATGTCTTTATGTCTGCCAATGGTCCAATCTCCTGGGGTAGTTATATACAGAATTGTATAGCCTTGTCTTCTACAGGATCCAAATACATTGGAGCCATCCTGTCTGAACTAGTTAAAGCCAAGCCAGACTGGTGAGCTCCGATTCTAGCGGAACTATTCACTGTGGTGGACAAAACTGGAATTCTGCCTAATTCATGACAGAATTCCATAATTATTCCAATCTTTAAAAAGTGGGACAAAAAGTTACCTTCGAACTATCGACCAATAAGCCTATTGTCAAATATTGGGAAATTGTATGCAAAACATCTATTATCCAAATTAACTACATGGCTTGACCTGAACATCATCATAGACCCAGAGCAGGCAGTTTTTAGGCCAGGAAATCCACTTTACGTAACTGTATAGTGTTATCCCATTTAGCCACCAAGTACATGCGGCACCATAAGGAAGGACTATTTGTGGCCTTTTTAGAGCTTAAGGCTGCTTTTGACTCAGTCAACAGGGGGCTGTTATGGTCCAAACTGGAGATACTGGGCTTAGACCCCAGGTTACTTTACCTGACTAAAAAGCTTTACTCAAATAATACCTGTCGCATAAGAATAACTCCAGGGGACGATGTATCAGACCCTGTTGCTATAAATCAAAGTGTGAAACAGGGCTGTGTTCTTGCTCCCTCTCTTTTTAATCTCTTCTTAAATGACCTTGCCCCATTACTAAAACTGGTGGATGCTCACAGCCCAAAACTCAATGCATCAAAAATTCCCATTTTCCTATATGCAGATGATATGTTTCTGCTCTCACGGACTAGAATTGGCTTAAAGCATTTGTTAAATGCCTGTATTGATTATCTGTCTAGTATGAAAATGAGTATGAATTTTGACAAAAGCAAAATAATGGTTTTCAGGAATTCTCGTAAGAGATATATTTGGGTTTTTTGGTGGGAAACACATCCAGGAGATATTTGAATTCAACTACTTGGGGATCACTTTCCATCACAGGCTCCGGTGGTCTTCACACTGCTCAGGGGCGGTAAACGCCAGCAAGCTGTCCATGCGGGCCATATTGCGCTTCTTTGCAACAAGAGGTAACAAACACATCCCTTCAGCCCTCAAGGCTTTTAATGCTAAAGCCAGAGCTCAACTGCTCTATGGAATTCCAATCTGGATGTCAGGGTTTTCCCAGTCAGCAGAAAGAGTGCAGGCAGCCTTTCTAGTTAAGATCTTTGCTGTCCCATGATGCATACTTTACGCAGCCCTGTGTTTAGAGGGAGGCCAACATAAGCTAGAGACAGTTGCCTTGATGAGTTTTCTTTTATGCTGGCTAAACATCTGTTTTTCAGCAGACAAAGATACCTTGCTCAGCGAAGTTCTGTCTGACTCCTTCCCTTCCCCAGGGCTACAACTGTTTCGCACAAAGATACGGCAACACGGGCTTTCAGAGGATCTCCTGGACGGTGCGGCTTTCCCAGTTGCCAAGACCATGTTAAAAACTAGGCTGTGGGGCATAGATCTGCAGGAACTAATCTCAGTTGGGGAAAAAACATGCTCCCCTCTTTATTTTCAACTCTCTTGGGTGCAGGAATTTAATCTTAATTATTTACAATTTCCGTTTAATGCGCAAGAAAGAAGGGCCTTTTCACTGGCTAGGTTCAATTCTAATCCTTCTAACCTCCTTTGGGGTAGGTTTGCGGGTTTGGCAGAAGGAGACAGGATCTGCCCATGTGATGCCCACCTGGTGGAAACTCTAGCTCACATGGCCCTTAAATGTAAAAGGTATGATGATCTCCGCCAACAGTTTCTAGACCATCTATGTATTCCAACATGGAAACCAGAGATGGAGGTTATATGGTTCTTATTACAGGGGAGAGACCAGGAGCTCACCAAGACAGTAGCTAAGTTCCTCTATTTGATTTTTTGTCGCTGAAGTATGCTACAGGATCCTGCCCTTGCTGGAAACCCACAGAGATGAGGCAGATTGCTCACCTCTTCTGCCCTTTGGCGGGTGACTGTGCCATTGGAGTGGCGGCGAGATCGCACTGGCCTATCTATTCTGAATGTATTCTGAATGTTCTTATGTAATGCCAATAAAGGTTACTTGACTTGACTACATTGGAGCCACAGAAGCTAATACACTGTTACCTCGGGTTACATACGCTTCAGGTTACAGACTCCGCTAACCCAGAAATAGTGCTTCAGGTTGAGAACAGAAATCGTGCTTCAGCGGCGCAGTGGCAGCTGGAGGCCCCATTAGCTAAAGTGGTGCTTCAGGTTAAGAACAGTTTCAGGGTAAGTACAGACCTCCAGAACAAATTAATTACTTAACTTGAGATACCACTGTATACCCAACTTCCTCAATTTCAGCATAAGGCATGGTTTCCAGACCCTTTCTCGTCTTGGTCACAATTCTCTGCATTCTACCTGGGAATATGACGCTTCAAGATATTTGAAGGTATACCTTAACATGGGAATACATGAAACCAGCTTTGCTGATTGATCTCTATGCCCCAAGTGTCATAAGAACTCAGGGCTAGGTTTTATTTAAGAGATGCTCCAATGCTAGTTTCATGGGATTCGGCAGTATGGCAGGTAAAGGGGAACACTTCAGGTTTGTGACAAAGCATGGACCAATTCCACCGCTAGGCTACTCAACCCAAATACCCTTGCAGAAAAGGGGTGTTTAAAAAAAGGCTCGCATTGCACATACAGGTAGGATAAGCAAGCCAGGAACTTGTGAACCTTAGAAACGTGGCAGAGCGCAGAGTTGGTGGGGCATGGGAGGTGTTATAACCCCAACAGCAGGAGTAAGGTCCAGGTCTTCCTGAGATGTTCCAGGGGGTGGCTGGAAGGTGAATTTCTGCAGGAGACTTGTGAAGAAGAGGAAGAGCTCCATTTTGGCAAGAGTCTCACCTATACATGCTCTCCGACCTGTAAGGACACACAGGCAGCAGAGAAACTGGGTTTAGCAGTTGCTTACTAACATCCCAAATACTTTAAAGCAGACTAAAATGCAGAGATAAAATAACAGCTCACGGTGCCCATCTTAAAAGAATTATGACCTCCCAATACGAGCCATCCTGCAGTGCTGAAAAACAGGGGGGGGGTGTCTTTTCAGCCTGTGGGGCACATTCCCTGGAGAGCAACATTCTAGGGGCTGCACACCAATGGTGGCCAGATCTAGTGGCAGAAATGGCCACAGGAACTGATGTGATTCTTACCTTTGCACAATAGGCTACATTCCAGGCATGTAAAAATCCCATTGACTAAGCACACACTATGCAGATATACACAAAAGAAAAAGGAAAAAAAAAGTTACCTGCAGAGAAAGGCATGAAAGCATCTCTCTTTACGAATTTTCCTTCAGAGTTAAGAAAATGTTCAGGATAGAATTTATGTGGTTTCTCCCATTGAGATTCATCGCGCAGCACAGAGGACAGCAATGGTATGATGTATGTCCCCTGCAAAGGCAAAGCAAGAGTTATTTAAAAATAAACATATGTCTCTGGTACAATAAATATTCAGTGCAGGAGAAATGAGATTTGAGTTCATCTGAGAAATGTCTTTAGTTCGAAAAACTTTAACATATAAGTCAGGATCTCCCACCAGAAAAGGTTTGTTTTCCAACCTTGTTCTCCTTCCCACTGAGATGTGTTTAATGGGTTGAAGCTGATGCCTGACAGCTTCCGAATGGTAGATTACATGCTTGCAGTGCAATCCTATACAAGTCTGCTCAGATGTCACCCACACTGAAGTCCAAGGGGCTTACTCCCAGGATAGCCTTTAAATATATTGTAACTAGTGGGCAGCAGTTCAATGAAATGTATCACCTTTGGAATGAAGTAGCCATTAAGGGTAACATCTGTAGTCGTGGCATGTGGCAGGTTGGTTGGGTTAATATTGGCAAACCTCTGGATCTCATGGACCACGGCATCTGTATAAGGCATCTTTCTTCGGTGTTCAATACTTGGCTGAGAAGATCCAACAACCTTTGCAATTTCTTCTTGGACCTTTACTGGGGGAAGCAAAAAAGAAAAGCATTATTTTTTCTGCTAAGATTATCTCTTTGATTTGGCTTTTGTCTCTCAAAATACTAATCTCTCCAGCATAGAACTGGAATAAACTGGTTCTCCAATTCCCTGGGCTCACATACTTAATGTCTAGAATGTGACATGAGTATTTTTTAAACAGGACAAACATTTTAGCCAATAACTTGATATACTGATGGAGAGAAATTCATCCAGGATGATTATTAAAATATCACTGCTGGGAATATCCTGAAGTGGTATCTTTTACATATAATGGTAAAAACCAAATATTTCATGATCCTACCGAGCCATACAGATTTTGGAGAAAATATGGTGGAAAGTTAGCTAGAGAAAGAGCATTTGGACAGGAAGAAGAAGATTCAACTGAGGTGGAGGCGAAAGAGAAATAAATTTGGAACAATATGCCTTTGAAAATTCTAACTTGGAATGTAAATAGGCTAAATAATAAGACTAAAGGGAACAAAAATTGAACATGTAAAGAAGTTAAACTTGGATAAATAAAACTTAAATAAAAGGTTGGGAAAGGACTTTGTAACTTCTGATGTAACAAAAAGGAGAGGAGTTGTAATGTGTATAAAACCAGGGTTGGACCCAAAACAATTATTCAAAGACCAACAAGGAAGAATATTGATAACCCAGATACCTTCACATGGAGAAAAAGTATTATTAATTGGTGTGTATGCACCTAATGAGGGAAAAAACCAGATTTTTAAAAGAGGCTAGAAGAAATATTATTTGAAAATTTGAATGAAAAGATTATTTTGATGGGTGATATGAATGGTGTAGCCTCCCTAGATTGGGACAGGAGGCTTCTAAAGATTTGTATACTAAGGTAAAGAGGGCAGAAATTCTATCAAGAACATTATGAGACTACAACTCTATAATAGTGGAATTAAGAACAGGGACAAGTTTCCCGATGAGATGGAGACTAAATGAAAATTTATTAAATGATCAAGTAATATTAGAAAAAGGGGGCAAAAAAATTAAAGGATTATTTTGAAATTAATTTGAACCAAGAGACAGATTCAAAGGTGGTATGGGATGCCAGTAAAGTAGTAATGTGGTGGGGGGGTTACATAGCAACGCGCATAGCAAAGAAATATTAGAGAGCAGAAAAAAACAAGAAATTTTACAAGAAATAAAAGGGAAAGGGAAAGAGTTAATAAATTCCCCTTGAAAAGAGATAGTGAAACAGGATATCAATATGTTGCAAATGCAATATTCAATTATAATAAACCAAGAAATAGAGTGGAAAATTAAATATTTAAACAGAAACAATTTAAACAGGCTAACAAGCCATGGAAACTATTAACTTGGCAAATAAAGAAGAAAAAAGAAAAAACCTGCATTAATAGAATAAATGTAGGAGGTAGAGTTGTGCAAAAACTGAAATAAATAAGAAATCAATTTGTGAGGTTTTTATACAGAACTATATTGAGCTAATATGAGGTAATTTAGAAGAAGTGGGTAGATATTTAGAAGACAGCAGACTACCTAAGATACCAAAAGGTAAAATGTCATTTGTTAATGGACCTGTCACAATGATGGAATTACAGCAAGCAATTTTAAACGGTAACTTAGGGAACGTACCCTGACCTTATTGACTTTCATCAATATAATATAAAAAATTAAAGGATTACTTAATACAACGTTTAAAAGATATTATGAATACATCTTTGAATACAGGAAAGTTACCCAAATCCTGGAAGAGTGCATGCATAACTTTGATGCATAAGCAAAATAGAGATCTAAAGCTGGTTAAGAACTATCAGCCTATTTCATTGTTGAATAAAGATTCTAAACTGTTTGCAGACAAATTAGCTAATGGGTTGAAAACTGTATTAAAAGAGGAAGGAATGGTTGTTATTGAAGAATCCACATATTTTAGATTTGGAAGGTCATGATATCATTTTTGGTTGGCACATTTATTTGTGGTATGAAAAGGTGAAAGTACATAAAGGTTTTACAAACCATACAATCATAATATTAAATATTATAAAACAGAAATTCAATTAAAATTAATTTTAAAAATGCAAACCATATAATTGGGGGGGGGGGGGTTATAGAGTATGGGATCAGTATAAAAACCTGTTGGAGACCAAAACACCACTATGGCTTGCAGCTTTGGAAGCCATAGCGGTGAAAAAGAAAAACATGATGGAAAATTGGGCAACATAGAAATTTAAGTGGAGAAGGTGGAGAATTGAAATTAAAATAATGATTTATCAGAGATGTTAACAACATGATTACAATATCATCATTTGAATGAAGTATTTTAAAAGGATATATAGCAGGGGGTTGGGGATGAAACATCACACTTGAAAGAGACCTGTTAAACTGTAATGTTAAAGTGATATCTAAAATGTATAAAATATTATTGGAATGGGAGACAAAGGAAGAACAAGTGAAATCTTCAATGATACTCTGAATAATAAAGGTAAAGGTAAAGGTACCCCTGCCCGTACGAGCCAGTCTTGACAGACTCTAGGGTTGTGCGCTCATCTCACTCTAGAGGCCGGGAGCCAGTGCTGTCCGCAGACACTTCCGGGTCACGTGGCCAGCGTGATGAAGCTGCTCCGCCAAACCGGCACCAGAGCAGCACATGGAACACCGTTTACCTTCCCGCTAGAAGTGGTACCTATTTATCTACTTGCACTTAATTGTGCTTTCGAACTGCTAGGTGGGCAGGAGCTGGGACCAAATGGAGGGAGCTCACCCCACTGCGGGGATTCAAACCGCCGACCATGCGATCGGCAAGTCCTAGGCACTGAGGTTTTACCCACAGCGCCACCCGCGTCCCTGCTCTGAACAATAGTTATTGGTAATAATACAGAAATGGCTGGATGGGAAAGTTTATCGAACATGGATATAAAATTTACATAATGTTATAGTTTAAGAGAAAATTATATGAAAGCGTTATATAGATGGTACTTAACACCTAGTAGATTGGCTAAAATGTATAAATCCAACTTGAATATGTGCTGGAAACGTAAAGAGAAAGAAGGTACCGTTATTCATATGTGGTGGTCTTGTAATAAGGTTAAAGCTTACTGGGAAATGATATATAATAAAATAAAAAAGATGTTTAAGATGTTTAAAAAACCAGAAGATAACATTATTATTTTTTTAAAAAGAAAGGAATGGAAATGGTTTATTGAATATTTACAAACAAACTGTAAACATACCAAGACATTGGCAGGATTAATGTAAAAACCTGCAGTCTCAATATATATATGGGATCTATACAGGAATATATATCTAAAATAATATGTTGAGATAATTTGGAGTATGCAGGAATATGAAATGAAATGTAAAGTGCCACAGAAAGGAGAAGGGAGTCCAGGTTGAAATGTTAAACTTATGACTGAACAATTGTTGTTATACATACACACACACACACACACACACACACACATATGCAAATTATAAACATTTTCTATCTCTAATAGTTACATATAACTGGAATTAAGATATCTCAGAATAATGGGAGCCAACCCAATTAAGAGCACTCACTCTGAATTTCAGGATATTTCATCATTAGAAACAGTCCCCAGCGCAGTGTGGTAGAAGTGGTCTCCATGCCAGCAGCTATTAAGTTGGCCACAACAGTTTTTAAGTTTTCGTTGTGGAAGTATCCATTCGTCTTGTTCTTCTTCTCCTCCTGGGTTGCAAAGAGTATGAATGGGTTAAAACGAATGGAGTGAGAAAATTTCATATGCAGAGATAAAAATGAATACCTGACAGGACCTGATGATCAAAGTATTGCTTCTTGCTGAGCAGTGAGAGATTCCAGGTTTCCAGACTATGCGATGATGATGGTATAGGGTTTATTTACACATATATACAACCCGAGCCTAAGATGGAGGGGCTCAGCATCAAGATCCCAAAATGTCTTGCTTCTCCATAGTCACAGCTGTTGCCCTCCATCTACCAGCTAAGAGAGGAGGTTGGGGAAGCTTGGCAATCCAGCTCCTTCTTCTTTGATACTCATAGTGGTGCTTAACTCCTCAGCCAAATGCCTTTGTTTAGACCAGTGGTAGTCAACCTTTTTATAACTACTGCCCACTAATGCATCTTTCCTGATGGTAAAATTTTCTTACCGCCCACCAGTGTTCAATGAAAGGAGGATTCAGCTTGTGATGTAGAACCCCTACCGTCCACCTAGAATGCTGAAACGCCCACTAGTGGGTGGTAGGGACCAGGTTGATAACCCCTGGTTTAGACCAGGCATAGGCAAAGTCCAGCCCTCCAGATGTTTGGGATTACAATTCCCATCATCCCTAACCACTGGTCCTGTTAGCTAGGGATGATGGAAATTGTAGTCCCAAACATCTGGAGGGCCGGACTTTCCTATGCCTGGTTTAGACAAAGGAACTAGTGGTAGTATTTACGTGACACGTATATGGCCCTGATCTCACAAATAAACTTGTCTGACTGATTCAACAATAGATTCAATTCCATTAGAATTAACCCTTCCTCGGTACAAGATCCCCACAATTTGGAACGTACTCAGGCATCATGCAGACTGACCCCATAAACCTGCAACAGTATTATATGATTACATACATGGAAGGCAGAATTTCTGGTGAACACTTGTGGATCAGGGTTACCATAAAGTGTTGCTTTTTGCTGACATATATCGTTCTCAGCTGAACATCTCATAAGATCTTTAATGTATTTACTCATAGTTTAAACTGGAAAAATGACTCAGAAATACCACATATTTATCTGGAACTGTTTCATTAAACTGAGATAGACAATGTGGTGCCCTCCATATTTTGGAGATAGCAACTACCTTCAGCCACACTTTTCAACACCTGTAACATAAATAGAGTTGCTGGTTGTAATAGCTGCCTGTCCTGCTGGGAGTCAGAGGGGAGTGAAGAGAGGAAGGAGTTCTTCCAATTGTTCATTCAATAGTTGCCGTACGGCACCAACCAACAGTGGTGTGTTTTTCAGGATATTCACCATGCTGAGCACTTTTTCTAAGATCCACACAGTCCTTGCTTATCAGGGATACATTCCTAGCATTTTTCTCTCACAACGGCGCAGCCATGCAGTTTCACATTACAACCAGCAGATTCACAAGTGAGGCAGAGGATCAAAAGAAGAGTGAAATAACATTAAAACTTCTTAGCTGTTTAGAACCTTTATTTGATACATATGTTAAAAGATGCTTTTCAACAACTTATATTTCCACTATTACTTTGCTGCATATTTTGTAATTTTTAAATCTCTGCTAGAGTTCTCTCATGAAACAGTATTTGCCCCAAAATTGGATCTTAGCACACAATAATTCTACTTTCTACCATTTTCCCCCATTGTACAAACACCTACTCTCCCAAATGGCCATCCTGCCTATCTAAAAGAGGCTCAGCCTCAGACTGCCATGTATTTGCAGCAGGACAAGCTAGAAACCAAAAAAGAGGAGAATTTTTTAAAAGAGAAAACAAAAAGAAGGGGGGAGGATTATAATTCTAAGCTCTTTATCACTTATACCTTAACCCTACAGGCAGTGTAGATTGAAAATTAAAAGCAAATTCAGACCTATATATCTTATAACTTTTCCAACCCTTTAAAAATAATTTCCAACCTGTTATTTAGAACTCTGTCGTCACCCAACCACCTGTTTCCTTTTCTGGGTGCTAATTAATTGGTAAACAGAAACTCCAATTCATATTCATTTCCAATCTTAGTAATGGTTAAAAGAACTGAAGCCATAATTTAAGGGTGATTGGTCAGTGCATGGGCAAATGTTTTTTCCTTGCTCCAAGATGCCTCCCCACCCTCAAAGTTTCCTATCTCCTCCAGTGTGAAAAACGCCTTCTTCTCAGCACACAAGGCATTTTCCCATCCCCCTTGTATCAAAAGGGAGTCTGGCAACCATTACCTCTTATCACTGCATAATTATCTCTCTTGGCAGAAGCTCCAGCAGCTGATGGTCAGTCTGACATAATTCCACCCCTGGAAACTCATATACGCCCATTGGCCTGTTTATTTGATCAGGGAATTTTTTTCAGAAATGTTGGTGAGCACACAACCTTTGCCCCTGCAGAGGTAACTTCTGTAACACATTAACAATGGCTGACTATTGGGAAATGGTAGGAAGTATGCCATGTTGGTCCCTTCTGCAATAAGACTTCCTGACTACTCCTTATGCATTCACTTGCAAACATGAATTGAAAATGGCAACGCTTATTCTGGGCCAACTTAAAAGACTCCATTACCTCTTGTTGCTGGATAAGAAATGAGTCAATAAAGCTCCTCTGGTCATTTTCATCCAGATCTCTGAGGTGTTTTATGAAGGTGGCATTTATGAAGGCAAACAGCTCATCTCTGTTTTGATTGAAAGTCTTAGGAGCCCCCAAAAGAAAACCAAGAGCAGGAAACATGTTATACAGCTGAAAGGATAAACATGTGAAAAAAGGAAAAGAGACATTAGGAAAGCCCAGTACAGTTCTCTCAGCTGGGTCTCTCAAAGCACGATTGCCCAAATACAACACAAAGCTCTTGAATGGCATTTGGAATGGGGGATGGGGTAACTCAGCATAGCATAATTTACGTGCAACCCCAAAATAATACGCTATGGCAGTTTTCCTCTGGAGGTTCGCCTTCAGAGAGGGAGATCTGCCCTTGGAGGCCCCTTCTGAGCCATCATGGAACCAACTATCACTTGTTCTTCCTTGTCCTTGGAGTCCCGATGGCAGTGAGACAAGAAAGGGTGTGCGCAAAAGAGACTTTATTATAGTTATGGGATGACTGTGCCATGTGAGTTTTCTAAATATTTTGAATCATCACCAAGTTTCTCAAGAGACCAATATTCTGTGTTTTGTGGTGAAACCTGAACAATATACAATAAACATGTTTCCCTGCCCACTTTGCATACACTGTTATTACAATCAACTGTTTGTTTGTTTTAATTGGAAAAAAAATAGATTACCATGACTGAAGAGCTTCCAAAAAGTTGGGCATTTTCATTAGTCAACTTCAGAAGTCTTATGTATGTGGGATCTTCATAATCAAATCGCTTGCCTAGTAGTATGGACACTATAATATTGGCAACAGCTGCATTCATAATTGTGGTGGTCTCAGTCGGGTTTCCTATACATGAATATGACAATTAAACAAAAATATTCTGTTGAAATTCCAAGTATGGAAAGGGCATTGTTTTTAAGTCTGCTCTTTGTTGCCTTAAATCGCTACTGGCAGCTTCCCTATGTGTAGACCTCCTTTATCAAAGAAACTGATCCTAAGTGCTGCTGGATGTGGCCAGAGCTGGGCTAAGAAATGCTTAAAGGGGCTTGGAAGTCACAGCAGCTATTGGAGTATAATCTACACACTACAGAAGAAACAGACCGATTACGTCTCCACAGGAAACCCTGGGAACTGTATTTGTGGAGTTAGTGATAAGTATGGGCTCATCCACACTTCCACTTCACACACGCTTTCTAGGTATGGTTGAAGCATTTCTCCCCTTTCCCCATTCCTTTCCAAGGGGGAACCCACTCTTTAGCAGTAGATCAGAACCAATGGCAACTGGAGAAAGCCCAAATTGCTCAACATGTGTTTTTTCTGAAGGAAAAGCAACGGGAGAAGAGGATATGTGGATGAGCCCTGTGGAACACAACACTCTAAGCACCTTTAAAGTGCTATGCTTATGCAGTGGTTTGACTTCACCCCTGGAGGCACACACTTCTGGAAGTTAGGAATATGTAACACGATACTATGGTAGTGTAGCTATGCACCAGAGGAAAACACCAACCCACCTTCGTAAGATTCAAATTTCTTTATCAGAACACTGCATTCCTCAACAATTCTATCTTCGATGGACCTCTTTCCCATTCCGTAGTCCCGTAATGTGCTTACAGCAAACCGCCGCATCACTTTCCAGTTCTCACCATTAGACAGAACTATACCTGAAGAGATGGGAAGAAAGGTTCATGTCTGCATGGTCATTGTACAAAAATATCAATAAATTATGTTCTGCATTTCTTCTACGGAACTGAGAATGGGTCCCAGCTATTCTCCCATTCAGACTCAGACTTCTGAGCTTTGACAAAGTAGCTGGTAGATGTGCCATCAAAGCATGACCTGAGAACACATCGATAGATAGGATAGAATAGAGGGTTGTTTGTACATGTCAGGGGTCCCAGCAGCACTCAGCTTGTTACTTTGTAATCCATGGGTGGACATTATGCCTCCTTCGTGTTTTCTCTCTGTATAGACTGGACCAGAAAATGGTTAGTCAGTTTCCACCCGGTGTGTGGCATTACTTTTCCATGGGATGATTATTGGCAGGTACCATGCTGAGGAGAACTACCATGAGGAGGCATGGCTGGAGCTGCCTCTTCCCCCTCACCCTGAATCTCCCCAGGAGCAGGAAGACAGTATAGATTTAGATCGGTGGTTTGCAGAGGGGCATAGCTGAGAAGGCAAAAGCTGGGAAATACTGGATGGAGTTAGGAGAAGAAACACTGGAAAAGAGAGGGTTTACACATTCACAGTCATTGGATAACATCCTCCCCCCCCCTCGATCTAGGAGGGCTCAGAAAGTCTCCGAACAGAAAGCACAGCAACTACATGCTCAGGTTATGAGATGTAGGAGTGACGTGGATGGATAGGGATGGCAGGGGGGGTAGCCTTAATTGGGAGCACCACCATTCTAGCGGGAGGCATTTGTTGTCCCTTGCTGTGATTATTGAAGAATTCTAACTGGTAAGAAGACTCTGTTTCCTTTGTTCTGCTTATCTACTGCCATGGGTGGAGGAAGCCAATTCCCTGAAGCCTGACAGTTATTCACAATTCACATTACCAGTTTCAATAAAAAGGGAAGTGCCTCACCGAAGTCTTGTGCAAGCCCTTGAAATAATGGAACGATGGGCCTGTCTGCAAATGCGTCCGCCTGATTAACCAGAGCCTCCTTTACTGTCTCATATCCTGCCAACACCACAGTTTTGCGGGGTCCCATTTGGATGCTGAAGATGGGGCCATATTGCTTTGACAACTGGAATTCAATGGAAGAAAAAATGGGAAACAGAGTATACCCAAAGAATATATTAATGTAAATAATCTCTGACAGAACTGACTGCATTAGCTTGCACATTTACCTAAGAGAAAAGACTCTTTTATACATTCCACAGAATCTAGTAGCAAAGTTTTCCTAATTTTTTCAGCTTTTTTCAATAACTACTATTGAACTCAGTAGAAATTACTTCCATATTATTGTGCCTTGGACCGAGCTGAAAACATATGACTTAAGAATAGTAATTTTGTGGAATGAATTCCCTTTTTGTATCTTTGCAAATCACCATGCAAAACAGAATCCAAATAACATAATGATAAAGTAAAAGAGCATTGTCTATGCCTCAGTGCTCTTCAAGACATTTGCTAATAATAGCTGTAGCAGCAACAGTTGCTGGACTCATGATACAGCAGCTCAGCCCTTTCATCCAGTTCAGTTGTGGAGCAGCAGCACAAATATTGGTTAGGCATGCTCAGGAAACCAGAACAAAATAGGCAGTTGTAAGGATAAAAGTGATTATACATTTAATGGCACCTCTCAAATTTAGTTTAGAAGATAGGCTCAAGGAGGAGGCTGGGCTGGGCAAGGTTTGCATTGGCACTTTTGCATCCTTGAAAATGGAGGCAATCGTGATTCGACACCAGACACCCCCAGACATCTTGTTCAAATTACCAGTTATAAATTGCAACTAGGTCCTATGACTATTTATTGGGAAAGATAAGAGGAGGTTCTGTAGCACAAAAAGGGGAGATGAGATTTATAGGCTCTAAAAGAACAAAATGTAATGTAATATGTAGTAGTAGTAGCAGTAATAATAATAATAATAATAATAATAATAATAATAATTTTTTACCCCGCTCATCTGACTGGGCTGCCCCAGTACCCTTTACCCTTGCCATGAGAAGAACTGGAAGCTTTACCTTTAACATGGTTCTGTAAGGCCTCTTGAGATCCATGATGTGGAGATTCCCAATGAGAGGTAAAGGCCTTGGACCTGGTGGAAGATTTTGGGAGCTCTTGTTCCAAAAAGCGCCCAGTTTCAAAACAAAGTAAACCATAAGGATAAAGAGGAACAATGCTGGAATTGGCTCTGTCCAATCCATTTTGTTTCAGCAAGCAATTTTTTTTGCAGTGGGTATAATGAAAGCTACAGGGTGGTTTGGTCGAGGACAATGTCTTGCAACTGCAGTGAGCAGCATATATATTATGCTAGGTACTGTCTCTAGTGAGTCATTAAACCACCCACTAAAACTGAAAGTGTCCTGCTTTGTCCCTCCAATTTTTTCTTCTCCTCCACAACTATTCAAAGCTGTATCTTGGATGATTTGCCTTGCAGTTTAATATTTACTCAAGGGGGTACTGCCCACTTCCACAAACTAATGCTTTCCAGAACAGATTCAAACTCTCTTGAATCTGGCCGGAGACCTGTCACTCAGGATTATCTGTAAAATTAATCTGTTATAATGGGAGTAAAGGGCAGCATTGTGAAATTCTTTGGAGTAATAATTGAACTGCATTTAGGGACGGATGTTTGAATGTGCACCAGTGTGGACTTCCAGTGAGGCAAGATGGCAAACCCCACAGCAGCATGGAGCCTCTGAGGACCACAAGCACCAATGGCGCTGCCTGGCTGGTGCCCGCACTGCCAACTCGGCCGCTGCCGCTGCTGTAACCAGTAGGTTAGCACGGGGCCCAACACGACAACCAGGGAGGGTGCACCTTCCAGTCTCCCCAGTGGCCTTCACCCCACTGGGACCTGAAGGGTCTCATCAACAGCCCAGCAGAGTTCCAAGGCCTGGAGGCCTCCAGAGCCAAACAGAAAAGAAGAAAAAACCTCCAGATGAAAACCTGGCAAGCCAAAGGCCTACACTGTCTAAGAGACTTCTACGAAAACAGCAAACCCATACCAACACATGAAATCCAAGACAAACTAGGGGACACCTAAATACCTTGGCTAACACACCATCAACTACATGCCTTCTTAAACAACCCAGCAGTAGGCCCTTGACCACCTTCAAAAACTTTCTTTTGACAGCAGAGGGACACAGCAAAGGGATGGTATCCACAATATAAAAAATATTGCTCCAAAATCCCACAACCCCCCTTGACACAATCAAAGAACAATGGGAGCACAACATAGGCTATGAAATTAACGCTACCCAATGCACTAGAATATGGTCTAAACCTCCCTTTAAGACCATATCAGCCAAAAGAATGGAACTCTGGAACTCACCTACAATACAGGTGGTACTTCACACCATGGAAACTGGCACTGATACACCCAGCAACCTCACCAAGATGTTGGAGAGGCTGCACCTCCACAAGCACATACCTCCACATGTGGTGGGAATGCCCTCCAATCCAACCCTTCTAGACAGCAGTCCTACAAGAGATATGCAAAATAACTAAACAGATATTAGAACTCACCCCAGAACTGGCCCTACTGAACATCTTCCAAGATCATAATGACCACTCACATTATACAGAGCTTATAACCCACCTACTCTCAGCAGCCAGAAGCCTCATAGCCAGACACTGGAGAGACCTGTCAGGAGTAAACATGAACCAATAGTATCAAATTGTATGGGAAATGGCCTTACTAAAAAAGCTAACTAATACAGTGGTACCTCTGGTTACGAACTTAATTTGTTCTGGAGGTCCGTTCTTAACCTGAGGTACCACTTTAGCTAATGGGGCCTCCTGCTGCCGCCGCGCTGCTGGCACGCGATTTCTGTTATCATCCTGAGGTAACGTTCTTAACCCGAGGAACTACTTCCAGGTTAGTGGAGTCTGTAACCCGAAGTGTTTGTAACCCAAGGTGTTTGTAACCAGAGGTTCCACTGTAAACTGAAACTGACACAGGGACAAATTGAAGAGGATGCCTTCACCCCAGTATGGCTCCCCTTTATCACATACACAGCCCAACAATAACAAGAATCCACTGACAGCATACGGATCAATCTGGCTTACCTAACCCAACAACCCCCCCCCCCAAATGCAAACAAACCCCACTGCAACCAACCACAGAGAACCAACCACGCCCTGGTCTCCCCCAATCCCTCTCACGACCAAGGAAATGTAATAAATTAATAGAGAACCTGCTCAGTTGACACTGACAGGAAACCCCACACTACACTATACAGAAGAATATAAGCCTCACCACCCCACACCTCCTCTCCCCTCGCTTCTTCCCCAACCTTATACTGTAGTCAACACTAATGTCTCACGACAAATGTAACTGATTTGTAAGAAAGACTGTACAACCTGAAAAAGGAGACAAGATACTGTATTTTCTGGTGTATAAGACTACTTTTTAACCCTGGAAAATCTTCTCAAAAGTCAGGGGTCGTCTTATACGCCGGCTACAGCAGCAGCTCCTGCAGTAACTCCCCACCAAAGGATAAAACGACAGCAAATTAAATCAGAGGACACCAAGCTCTCTAGATGAAGTAGAAATACGCTTGAAAATTGGCCCCAGAAGCCCCCCGGCCACTGGGAAGTGGAGCAGATTTCCGAGCCAGACTGGAGACTGTTTTTTTTTTTTAATTTTTATTTGGTGTGCGTTGGAAGAGGGGTAGTCTTATACGGCGAGTATATCTCAAACTCTATATTTTAACTGGAAAAGTTGGGGGGGTCGTCTTATATGCCCAGTCGTCTTATACGCCGGAAAATACGGTATGTACTTTTTTAAACCAATAAAATCTTTAATAAAAATTAATTAAAAAGAAAAAAAGAAAGTGCACCAGTATTTCCTGAATTTCTCCCATTGAACCCCTCACAAAGATGTTGCCACATCAACCAGCTCAATGATGTGATGGAGTGGAATCTGCATTTTTCTTTTTCTTTTTAATTTTTTTCTTAAAGGTTTTCTTGGGTTACAGAAGTACAAACATGGTCTCCATTTTCGGATTATAAAGTCCTTTTTACAGATCAGCTGTATTAGATGTGAGACTTCAGTGTTGCGAGGGTTGCCATACGTCCAGAATTTCCCGGACATAGCCATTGGAAACAGCGTCCGGGTGAAAAACACTGAAATGTCCAGGAAAATCCCAATTTATGGCAATCTGTGTCAGCAGTGTCATTTTTGGCAATTTCCCCTCAGAAAAAGCTCAACAATTTTGTGCAAAACCTTGCCCCCCAGATGTTCACTTTTTGAACTATGGCAACCCTGGCTGTTGTACCCAGTAAAAGGTTGAGGGGAGAAGCCAGGGGGGGGAGAGAAGGGGGGTAGTTTTTGTGGCAGCTTGATGTGGGTACGTTCTTTTTCTATTGACTCATTAGGTTTCATTTGTTGGTGGGTTCACATTGTTGTCTTGTTGGGCTGTGTGTAGAATAAAGGTGAGCCACACCGGGGTGAAGGCATCCTCTTTTATTTGTCGCTGTGCGACTTTCCGTTTGCTGGTTAGCTTTTAGAGTAAGACTGTTTCCCATACAGTTTGGTACCAGTGGTCCATGTTCACTCCTGTTCACATTCCCTTCAGTGGAATCTGCATTTTTCTGTAGCATCTTGCTTGGTTCTCTTTTCGAGCCATTTGGAGTTATTTGACCCTTTCTAAAATATGCATCTGTATCATACAACAAGGGACGCGGGTGGCGCTGTGGGTAAAAGCCTCAGCGCCTAGGGCTTGCCAATCGAAAGGTCGGCAGTTCGAATCCCCGCGGCGCGGTGCACTCCCGTTGCTCGGTCCCAGCGCCTGCCAACCTAGCAGTTCGAAAGCACCCCCGGGTGCAAGTAGATAAATAGGGACCACTTACTGGCGGGAAGGTAAACGGCGTTTCCGTGTGCTGTGCTGGCTCGCCAGATGCAGCTTTGTCATGCTGGCCACGTGACCCGGAAGTGTCTCCGGACAGCACTGGCCCCCAGCCTCTTGAGTGAGATGGGCGCACAACCCTAGAGTCTGTCAAGACTGGCCCGTCAGGCAGGGGTACCTTTACCTTTACCTTTATCATACAACAAACCTGTCTTCTTACTTCCAGGGCTCAATCTGTCCCTCATGCTTTTCTGTGTGGCTGGACAGGGTTGCCAAACCAAACCAAATCAAACCAAACCAAACCAAACCAAACCACAAAAATCACATTCCACCCTTCTTCTGAAAGGAGCCTGTGAGTCATTGCCATGATAAAAGGTGAGGCATTCAGCAGCAGACAAGGAAGAGGGGAGCTTGCCAGGGTATCAGGGGTGTGGGACACCTCCCCAGGAAGAAAGGTGTCCTTTTAAAACTGAGGTTTGAGCAAGGGCTTTTGAGAAGAAGAAAAGAAGAGGCCAGAACTGCATGAGGGGGTGGAAGATCAGAACCATATTGGGGGCTGGCTGAAGGCAGACTAGGACAGAGGCACAGAGATGCCTTGGAGTCCAGTACTGCACTGTGGTGGGGAACAAGCAGTGCTGCGAATGCAGCAGTCCTCCACTGAAATATGTGTAAAATATACCAAATTTCTTAAAGACAAGCCAGTCTCTGCCATGTCCTGATTCCCTACAGAAACATGACCCTGGCTAAGCTCCTGAAACCCAACTGAAATCTTGCTAATGATCAGCAGAGTTTGGGAGTGGTGTGCAACCTATGTAACAAACAGTGCTTTTTTCTGGCAGAGCTCCGTGGTACACAGCACTGGCACCTTTATATATATATGTAGGAAAAAAGCTGAAGGCTGATTGCTGGAGAATTGATGCTTTTGAATTGTGGTGCTGGGGGAGACTCTTGAGAGCCCCATGGACTGCAAGATCAAACCTATCCATTCTGAAGGAAATCAGCCCTGAGTGCTTACTGGAAGGACAGATCCTGAAGCTGAGGCTCCAATACTTTGGCCACTTCATGAGAAGAGAAGACTCCCTGGAAAAGACCCTGATGATGGGAAATATGGAGGGCACAAGGAGAAGGGGACAGCAGAGGACGAGATGGTTGGACAGTGTTCTCGAAGCGACCAGCATGAGTTTGACCAAACTGCAGGAGGAAGTGGAAGACAGGAGTGCCTGGCGTGCTCTGGTCCATGGGGTCACAGAGAGTCAGACGTGCCTGGCGTACTCTGGTCCATGGGGTCACAGAGAGTCAGACACGACTAAACGACTAAACAACAGCAAGGAAAAAAGCACTAGTCACAAGTAATGCTTTCCATGGTTTGAATGCTTTCCATGGTCTTAAATAAATTGTACTGCTTGTATTTCAGTTTCTTTGACTACAGTGGTATTATTTCCTTTTACTCAGTACCATCATAATCAATAGCTACTGTTTATTTTATGCAACTGATGCCCAGATTAGGATTTTAAAATTTAACTACCAATATTATGGTGGAAGGGACGCGGGTGGTGCTGTGGGTTAAACCACAGAGCCTAGCGCTTGCTGATCAGAAGGTCGGCAGTTCGAATCCCCTTGACGGGGTGAGCTCCCGTTGCTCAGTCCCTGCTCCTGCCAACCTAGCAGTTTGAAAGCATGTCAAAGTGCAAGTAGATAAATAGGTACCGCTCCGGTGGGAAGGTAAATGCCGTTTCTGTCCGCTGCTCTGGTTTGCCAGAAGCGGCTTAGTCATGCTGGCCACATGACTCAGAAGCTGTACGCCGGCTCCCTCGGCTAATAAAGCAAGTTGAGCGCCGCAACCCCAGTGTCGTCCGCAACTGGACCTAATGGTCAGGGATCCCTTTACCTTTACCTTTGTTATGGTGGAAAGAGTTGAGTTAAATGCAGTATCTATGAAAAGAGGCACTAAATTATAGCATCTGGTTTCATTTTAGGGTCTGTCTGATCAACTCCAGTAGATTGCAGCTTGGGTGTGAAGTCACTTGTCACTTTGCGTATTTATTTTATCAGTAAGCTTTCTCTCAAATTATTTTGCTGCCAGGTTCTGAATACATTAGAAACACAAGCGTTGAGTGGGTAGTGCTGTAATGCGTGAATGTGCATAATATTAATACTAGTCCAGAAAAACATTTTGCTCTGGTTTTATTTTTGCAGTAAATTAAAGCAGATATAAACTGAAAAAAACAATGCATGGTCCAGTTATTTCACCAGAAACAGAAAACACCTTTGGGAAAATAGCTAAATATGTATAGTTCCTTCTGTGCTTCAGTGCTGAGCTTGCTGTGGCTCTCTGGGTAAATGAAAACTGCTCTCGTATGATGGCTCTTCAAGGGGAACCTAGAAGGAAACCAGACAAGATGTTTGAGTAGACAGAATTTAGTTGGTAGCCAAAGGAAGTTACACCACACATACCAAAATCTAAAGCGAGTTCAATATCTTTTTTGTAATCCCTTAAACCATTGTGATAAACAAGATCAGACTGTTATGTTTTTATGCAGGTTAGCTAGTGCTGGAGACTGTAAACTGGATGGTTGCAGCAATGATAGATGGTTGATCTATTCAGAAAGTTCCAGAGCTGGGATTTTAATCCACTGCCTCCAGACTTCTGCTAGTTTCCAACAGTGAGTTCACTTCAAAAGACAAACCCAATTCAAAGTCAGCAAACAACTTGCAGAGGGATTTAGCTGCATTCTTCAAACTCCTTGTACAGGTATAATCCCATTTTTAAAAAACGCGATTTGCCATTTCTGTCAGTTTCCTGCTGTACAAGGTAACATGCAGAAGAGTTCTTCCTTTAAAAGTGGGTCAAAGGCAGTCTTCTGCCTAACGTTTTAAGCCTCCCTTGAGAAATTCAAAAGATGTGGTCCTTTTCCACCTGTCTATGGACACATGTCTTTTTACTGAATCTGCAGCAAGAGATACCAGTTAACTTGCACATTTGTGGAAAGAACATCAGTTGCCTGTCCAAGTCCATTAAAAACGGGAGTGAAACCAATTTAAAAATATTGCTTAAAAAATCACAGCTTCACAGTGATGAACATTCTGCTGTTCTGAATCTGCCATTTGCTGCTGTTTTAAAAACAAAACAAAAAACACCCATATGTTAAATGTGACCATGCATTTACTAGTGATGTGCATTTTAGCTCTGAGAGGGAAAGGCTGAAGAGGAAAAGGAAAATGACTGAGAACTGGTTGCAGAGAGAACTGTGAGGTCAGAAAGATGAAGAGGTTTAAGGCGATGGCTGGGGTGCAGAGAGACTGCTATGCTCTCTAAGGTGCCGAGGGAGGAAAGGGAATTCAGAGAGACCTGTGGGGTGGGAAAACAAGGGCAAAGCAGAGGGTGGGTGAGCTATGGGGTTCAGATGGGCTGGTGCCTACACTATGGAGTCCAGAGAAAGGATACAAAGGAGCTCTATGGGAGGTTAATAGAGAACAGGGTAATGGAAAATACTGTTATAATTGTAACACGAAAAGTTTCCCCATGGTTAACTTAGGAATGCAGTAATGGCTCTCAAAAGCAGAACACCGGGCTTCACACTAAAGTTCAGCTAGTCTAGAAATTGAAAGTGGAGACAACAGTGGAGATCTTCCCCTTTATCTGTTTTTTAAAAATACTTTAATAAAAACTAATTGAAAATCAAACAATCCCTGCACAATAAAGTCTAACAATAAAAGGTGGGGGGAACTATCCTGTGATATTTCTAAAACTCTGGGTTGAAGAAACTACAGCGCAGCTCACAGCACATCCTTCTATGCCCTGGAAATCCCAATTAGGCAAATGTGATCTGGAAAAGAGCGCTGCAAAGTGGAGCCATTTATTAAGAAATTGGAAGGATGGACCAGAAAGAGACATTGGCACTGGCTATCTAATCGTGCTGATACCATGAAAGAAAAATGCTATTTTTATGCACTCGGTTGTATTATTCTGTCCTACCTCCCAATACACGGAGTCATCATAGCAGTTCTGATCAGGTGGTTGCTCCCAGAAAGGCAAATGTAGAATCAACCCTGCATTGGGGAGGGGGGGAAAACACAGCCGTAGTTAAAAACATCCCATAACAGATTTTCTATAACAATAGTAAGACGGAATATTGGAGAAATGCCACAGAAACCTCATTAGTCGATTATCTCATCGATTTGTGCCCCCCAAAGTAAAATTTAGGCTTAACATTAGCTTTGTGTATTTTAATTCAACTTGAAGCAATAGAATGTTGAGGGGTCTTCTGTTTTCTTGCTAGTGCAATTATATTTCACACTAGGTTCTACACAGTAAAACAGACACACTTGTGAGGAGGTTTCCAGATTGTGGTTTAATATTGTAAATATGTTTGTTGTTGTTTTTCAAAAAAACCCCCAAACCTTGGGTTTTCCACGCACTCTTTCAGCACCTGTTTCAAACATCTTTCAAGCCTATCCAGACACATAGAAGCAGACATGTTTTAGCGTTTTTTACTTTTATTCTTCTTTCTCCTTAAATATTTTTAGTGGTCTTAAACTGTTTTTATTAATCGTTTCAACACTTCTTGCAAACTGCTTAGAGGTTTAATTACAACCGATCGACATATTAATGCTGTTAAACAGATAAAGGGGGTGCACCCGTCCCACAACAAACACCAGTCTGAAAGCAGCCTGAGACGGCGCCGATAAGGGTCTGTATTTTACTGACCTGTAAAAGCTCCTCCTACCAAAGCAATCGCAATGGAGCATCCCAGAGCAGCAGCCTGCATACCAGTCGATAAACTGTAGGATGGGGAGATAAAATACATATTGCATCACCTTCACCCATGATGAGTGGAATTTGTTAGGTGTGTTCTTTGGGACATAAAACACATGTAGCTTTTTTAAAAAATAATGTGACAGTCCAATATTCAGTGGTCCCCTAGCTGCCAGTGTCGTCCTCTTGACTTCTCCAATGCCCCTGCCTTCAGGACTGGAAGGAGGAGGCTCAATGTTAAATTTACATTTCAAAGTTCTCCAGCCAAATAATATATTAGGAGAAAGTGCACATAAGAATTCATATACTGGTGAAAATAACATGAAATACAGTATGTAAGAGAAAATTGCTTGCAAGAATATACAAAGAGAGAAAAACACATTATAAAGTTCTGGGCAATTTTCATAAGGACTTTAAAACAAGTAAATTGAAAAGTGACGTGGAATGTAGAGAGCAGATCTTAAGATTGGGGGAAAATGAGAAAATGAGAGAAAGTGGAACTGAAACATTCTGTTCTTCTATACTATGTTGGCCTTGTGGTCTGTTGAGATTCCTGCATTGCAGGGGGTTGGACTAGATGACCCTGGGGTTCCCTTCCGACTCTACAATTCTATGATTCGAATCTGTGCTCTAGATTAGATCTGTGCTCTAACACTGCTCCTACTGCAAAGTGGCTGCATCCCAAGAAGGCAATCTAAAAGCAACATTTCATACATTCTTAGTCTGGCCATTTTTGTCACCTGTCAAAACTTAGTTTGCAACCAATTAAAGCATGTTATTTTACTAGCAGATACGACCTGATTCTATGCAACTCACTTGTTCTCGACTTGTAAAGCAGCTGCAATGATACTTGCAATGCCTCCCAAAAGGCCAGGTATGCCATGCAGGTTATGGACTCCACAGGTGTCTTGAATCTTCAGCTTTGAGGCAAAGAAAGGCTGTAAGGAAACAAAAGGTTATTTCCAAGTCACTGTAAAACAGGGTATCTAGAAAGGATGTTGTTCTTCCTTATTTTCACAGGTTGTCTTACATGATCGAAGAGCAACTTTGCACAACATAAAATGACACCATTTTATCCTGCAGTATAATCTACATTTTGGAAAGGTCTCCCTCGGGAGGCTGTGGACTCCCTTTCCTTGGAGGTTTATAAGCAGAGGTTGGATGGCCGTCTGTCATGGATGCTTTAGCTGAGATTCCTGCATTGCAGGGGGTCAGACTAGATGACTCTTGAGGTCCCTTCCCATTCTGTGATTTATTAATAATCTCAAAAATATTTCCCTAGATAGGATACAACATAGTAACATCTTTGGACAACTGAATTTGAGGCTGTGACCATGCAAGGGAGGAGTAATGGTGGAATGGGAAGCTGTTTCTGGCTTTAGTAAGACTACTGACTCAGAAGCCAACACAATTTTCCTTGCCACCCGACGGGACAAGTCTCCCCATATGGTAAGAAAAAACAGTTGAACACCTCTATGTTGGCAATAAGGCAAATTCCCAGTATGACCGGGGGAACTTTTTTCTTTCCTGCTCCAAATGTGGAAATCAGTCTGACAAAAAGTGTCTTCAGCCATTCAAAAGAATGTGAGAGAGCTCAAATTGTGTAAGGGCACCAGACAGAGGCATGAACTCCCATTGCCGCCAGGTGCTGAATGGTGTGATGCTCAGCAGAGAAGCCGGCCTGCTCAAGGGCAATGGAATGGGACATTGACTCAACAGCAACCATAATCTTTAATTGCGGCAGGCCCTGATGTACCAAGGGAAATTTATCTAGATACCAGAATAAGTCAGGATTATATTGAAATTTCCCATTACTCCCTTTGATTGGCTTTGAAAACACACTCAGAAAGGGGCAGAATCCTGGCAACTTGAGCCACGGCAATAACTGTTAAGTAAACTAACAAGCACAGCTTGGATTTCGGCCCACTCAGTGCAGTGTGCAAATTCTCTTATCAAAGGTAAAGGTACCCCTGCCCGTACGGGCCAGTCGTGTCCGACTCTAGGGTTGTGCGCCCATCTCACTTAAGAGGCCGGGGGCCAGCGCTGTCCGGAGACACTTCCAGGTCATGTGGCCAGCGTGACGAAACTGCTCTGGCAAGCCAGCACCAGCGCAGCACACGGAAACGGCGTTTACCTTCCCGCTAGGTAAGCGGTACCTATTTATCTACTTGCACTTAAGTGTGCTTTCGAACTGCTAGGTGGGCAGGAGCTGGGACCGAAAGACGGGAGCTCACCCTGCCGCGGGGATTCGAAGCGCCAACCATACGATCGGCAAGTCCTAGGCGCTGAGGTTTTACCCACAGCGCCACCCGCGTCCCTACCTTATCAAAGGTAGGACAAATCTAAAAAGAACGAAGTAGCACTCACCGTCAAGTATTTGAATCCAGCAACTGAGATGAATCCAGCTGTGCTGCCAATTAACATTGCACCGAAAGGTAAGATGTTCAAGTCAGCACAGGAACCCACAGCAACTCCTCCTGCCAAGGTAGCATTTTGAATGTGCACCTGTGTGGGGCACAACATATTGACACGTTATATCACACCAATAAAACCAAGAGACCATTTGCCTTTCCTGTAATTGACTAGTAGTGCATGATAGTTGCAAAGGAATTTGCAAAGATGGTTTTGAAAAGCAGTTGCAAAAAGAATTGCGCTAAAGCCGGACTTGGCATCCTCACATGACCAGGGGCACATTTCACTTAAGAGTGCAGGGGCCCAGACCGCAACCTTTGTGTAAGTGGGGAGTTGCCTGTAGTGCAGAAATTATATGTGACCAGCAGGCTAACCAGAATTGCATTCTGGCTGGAAGTAGTTCACAGAGTTATCCTCTTTCCCTCACCCATACCACTAGCCCCACAAATTGGTCTTTTCACTGTAGCTGGTGACTTAAAACTAGAGGTGGAGGAGAAATTAGATCCAGTTTGCATTTGTAAGAAAATACGTGACTAGAAACAGCCATCCTTCGGAAAGTTTGCACTTCTCTGAATTTTGAACTACAGTTCTTTATTCAAGTGATGTGTACAGAAATACACAAATATGTGCATACAAATGAATACATTAGTGAAAATGGCATAGGAAATGCATCACATTAGAGGAAATTGCTTTGCAAAATGAGTAATAAGACAAAATTGCAAACAAAAATGTGTATATTGGGAGAAAATTGCATTAAAATGCTGGTGAATTTTCATGAGGACTAAAAAATATATATTACAAAGTGATGTGGAAATGCGGAGAACTGAATTTAAGAGTGTAAAAATGAGAAATGGAAAGAAAGCAAAATGGACACATTTTGCAATCCCTACATAAAATTAATTACCTTTTCAACAAAGGGTCTTCCTGATGGATGTTTATTGTAGGATGAGTGCTCCTTGTGGACACAGGTTTTTCAAAGTGTCCACATGATGGCATTGACAGCAAAATCCCAGTCTGTATCGTCTCCCTGCCCCATTTAATCTGGATTTGTCCTATCTTGTAAAAATCTGGTATGTTTTTAAAAAGGCGATTGCCAACATGTTCTGCAAAGTGTGTCAGATAGGAACAGCCCCAGAAGACATAAACCTTTATGAAGTCTATAAAAATTCATTCTAGCCAAAACAAAACAATCCCTGATTTGGGTGGCTCTGAGGCAACAACTGTATACTGACATTCTGAGAAACCCAACTGAATCCATACTAGTGATAAGGAAGAAATTTGGTTCTCCAAATTTTGTGATGCAGTCCTCCAACGAAAAACATATGTGCAAAATGCATATATTGGGGGAAAGTGTTAAAAACCATCATATTAGCTTGTAAAGAATTGTGCATAATAAGCAAAATTGCATACAAAAATCTGTGTATTAAGAGAATCCAAATGCTGATGAATTTTTGTGATGACTTTCTTGAATTGTAAACAGATGTGGGAATGTGATGAACTGAATTTAGAGAGTAGAGAAATGAGAAACCCCGACATAAATGAGTGGTTGTTAACTGTGATGGATATGCATCGTGCTCAAGACAAAGCTTACCATGTCAAGTTTGCCTCTGCCTTCCACCAGGATAGAGGTGGCAAATGCTGTGAGTGTGCCAGCTGCCAAAGCAAAGTATGTGTTGATGATCGCTCTTTGCTGGGCATCTGCTGTTGCTGCAATTGCTGAGTTAAAACTGGGCCAAAACAGCCAGAGGAAAAGGGTACCTATATAAATAATATAACAAAAAAATGCAGGATGTCATTAATTAATCTCCTCTGGTCTTCTTTGAAGGACATTGGAAGCTGGTCAGACCCAGATAGCTCCCTGTATTCTCAACTCTGATGACTCCCAGTATGGCTCCCCTTTATCACATACACAGCCCAACAAGACAACGACAAAAATCCACCAACAGCATACAAATCAATATGGCTAGCCTGATCCAAAACACCCACCCACCCTACTCACACATGAAAACAAAGACCACCACAGCCAACCACAAATGAACAGCCACACCCTAGGCCAACCCCAACCTCTCTCACCACCAAAGGAACACAAGTGAACAGCAGAGAACTTGCACAAGCAGTGCTGACACAAAACCCCACATATATTAAGTAAAATAGAAACATCACCACCCAACCCCAACCCCACTCATCTTTTTTCCCCTCCACCTCTTCCCCCCTATTCTTCCTAATGTCTCAACAAATGAAACCGATTTGTAAAAAAAAAAAAAAGTTATGAGAGAGAGAAACATTGCACATACCTCTGTAAATCAAGAAAATCTTAAATAAAAAACATTTTAAAAAAAGAAAAGAAAAGAAAACTCTGATGACTCCCAAAAGTCTCAGGGAGAGATCTTCCCCATCCTCTATTGCCTGATCCTCTTAACCAGTGATTCTGGGAATGGAACCTTCCTATACTTTTCTTCCCTCCAATTATCATACGCTTGGTCCAATGTGACCACCTGAACTATCATTGCACTGGTACACCAATACTGGTGTTCCATCATGCCTGGCAAATTGTGTCAGGGCAGCACTTAGGACTTCATCCAGATCACTTGGTGGCTTAGTACAGCTGTATACCTTAGAAACATTTCACAATTCCACATCCCTTGGAGAAGTGAGACAACTGTTTCTATCAATCCAAAAGCTGGAATTAAAAGCCCCTAATGTCTGTGGCATCAGGCCCTCGTGGTTCTTTCATACAGACCCAATTACCTGAGTCTCCTGGCATAACTGGTTCAGAACCCTTGACCATGCAGTAATGCCAGGCAAGGCATCATATGATAAATAGCTTTTGAAAAGAGCTTTTGTTGGCCACCCTCATGGTATGATATGTTTCTTCTCCACAGTATCATGAAAATTGAGTCATAACAGAAAGAAGCCTCCTACTCACCAATCATAGCAAACATGTCGGAATTGTAAACAGAACCTTCATTTTTATGTCCATTTTTCAAAGCAGGGCGGTATATGACCCGAGCTACTGCCAGCCCAAAATAGGCTCCAAAAGCATGAATAGTCATGGATGCACCAGTATCAGTGGCCTGCAAAACAGCATAATTAGTTGTAACAATTAATTGTTAATCCTAACCATGTAGTATGCTGAACTGCTGTCTTAAAGCCAAGCAACAACTGCCATCATAAGAGGGTGAAAACTTCAGATAATTATGACTGTGAATACGTGGGAGTCTTCCAAACGAATCCTTTTCATTTCAAGTTTCTGGTGCCAGTGCACAAGTATGCAAGGCTCCCTCCCTCCCTCCTTGTCCGTAGACAATGTCTGGTGACTACGTAGAAGAGGAGGGTTGAGTTGGGGAGGTGGATTGGCTTGTTCAGGTGCATCCCTCTACTCCTCTCTCCTAAAGCTGGAGGAGAAACAGCTGTTAGGTTTATTACTATTACTATATCAGGCTTTTGGAGTTAGAAACTGATGGGCAGATAGAGATGGGTGAGGAAAATGCACCATTTTCTTTCTAAAGAGGAAGTGTGTTTTGCCAGCCCCAGCAAGCCAGGTCAACATTGGCACATGCAAGGTGCAGGGCTGTGCTTTTGCCTGCATGGTGTGATTTCAGCCATGTGAAAGTGGACAGGATCAAAATGTAAAAGTGAGCGTGGCAAGAATGTCAGCTCTCAGGACTGCCTTCCAGAGGGGTTTTCCATGCAACACTATTTCAAATCATTTTAAACATTCATTATTCATTATATTCTCTCTCTCTCTTTAAAGGACAGATTGCAGGGGATCTTTTGGCATGGCAGCATCAATGCAAGGTCCCTGAAGGAGTGATCATTAAATGACAGTCAAATGTTGCTGTTCTTCTTGAATTCAGGGGCAGCTGATGTGTTGGGGTGGAACTGCCTTCCTGACCCTGGAGTCACCCCACCCTACTAGACACTACTGGATGAATTAAGCTTCAGCGAAGATGAAACAGAACAAGTGTAAGCACAAAGCCTTGAGGCACATCAAACTAAACAGAGATAGGATATGTTTCCACTATAAAGTATGGGCAGAATATACAGTATTTTTCGCTCCATAAGACGCACTCAACCATAAGACGCAGCTAGTTTTTAGAGGGGGAAAGCAAGAACAAAAATATTCTGCGCAGAGCATGTAAGCGGCTCTCGCTTTTCTTGCTTTAAACCCTTCCGCCCCTCCTCCTGCTTCACTGAGAAGCAGGCAGAGCAAGAGCGATAGCTGCGCAGCGCCTCTTCTTCTGCTGGCTTCCCAGCAAAGCGGGATGAGGGACGAAAGGGAGCCCTTACAAGGGAGCCCTGAGCAGAGCCTGGCAGCGGCTCTTGCTGGCTTTTCTGGGAGGTGTGGGAAGGGACAGAGGGCAGCCCGTCAGTCCCTTCTCCCTCCTTGGGGAAAAGCCAGCAAGAGTCGCACACACGCTCCACGCGGCTCTTTAAAGGGAGCGCTGAGCAGAGCCACCTGCCTGCATTCGCTCCATAAGACACACACACATTTCCCCTTACTTTTTAGGAGGGAAAAAGTGTGTCTTATGGAGCGAAAAATATGGTAAGTGAACAACTTTTCTCGCATCATATATGTCACAGAAAATTCCTACCTGTAATACTGACACGACGAGGTGTTCGTTGCAGGCAAAGATGGTGATTTCAAAAATGGCCATGATCAGCATCTGGATTGGACTTGTTCTCCCCAGGACAGCTCCAAAGGAAATCAGGACAGCTGCTGTGCTGAAGTCTGCATTGATCATGCTTTCAATGGGAAGGGAACAGGGAGAATAAAAACCAAAGTCAGGTATGATGTCATAGATGTATGAGGGTTCAGAGACCAGGATGAAGTGGCATGATGATGCTATCCTATGCCTAAGCAGATGTGGCTTTGAAAGCTGTACTGGGACTGTATGAAAGATCTCAGCTACCAGTTACACCCTTCGTGGTTAGTGCTCTTAAGTTTAAGGCCATTTTTTGTTTGAAGAACAAGCAGTCATGGTCTTCTAGTGCACAATGTGCGCCCAGTCTGCATCAGGAGCAGATTCCGGAGCAGGGCCCAACAGCTCCTAGTGCTTCAAAAAAATAAAAAATGGCCTCCAGGTAAACTCTAAAACAACAACAGCACTAGGAACAATATATGGTGTCAAAATCCTGAGGGCCAACCCAGATATTAAAAGTACAGTGGTACCTCGCAAGACGAATGCCTCGCAAGACGAAAACGCGCAAGACGAAAGAGTTTTCCGTTTTTTGAGTCGTTCCGCAAGACGAATTTCCCTATGGGCTTGCTTCGCAAGACGAAACGTCTTGCGAGTTCTTGCGAGTTTGTTTCCTTTTCTTAAAGCCGCTAAGCTGTTAATAGCCGCTAAGCCGCTAATAGCCGTGCTTCGCAAGACGAAAAAACCGCAAGACGAAGAGACTCGCGGAACGGATTAATTTCGTCTTGCGAGGCACCACTGTACCACATAAGTCTGCCCCCACTCAGTGTTTCTTGTCCATCTTTTTCTTCTTTATAAAACAGCACAACCAGACATCATTGTTAGGGCATCTCCTTGCACTTGCAGCTCACAATGTTGGCTGCTAATGTCAGGAAGAACCATTGTCCCTTCCTATTCTGTGTAAGAAGGAGAGGAGAGGGAGAAAAGACAAGGGTGAGTGTATGCCTTAGAACGTCTAGTTTGGACCCGAACCATTTGAAGGAATAAATTGAATTAATTTGAAAAAATAACCTGATGTTTATTGAATTGATCATTGAATTGAGACTCCGAGGCCTTACCCAGACAACCCTACAAAAATGTACTTTAACCTCACATTTCCCCTTTGGTTCAATCCTCTTACAAATTCCTTTCTGGGACCATGGCAGGAAAAAGACCAGGAGAATGCCCGGCTGAGTTTGTCTTCTGTTTCCTTTGTCTCAGGTAAAAAGTGGGGAGCGGAAATGCATCCAGCTTTTTGCATTCATGGGAAATGCACATCACAACATTGCAGCAGGAAAGTGCTGGAAACGGTGTGCGCATGAGAGATGAGGTTTTGCCACTTGCCAGTAGCAATGTCACAGGCAGACCTGTCTCTAATAGGTGCCTATGACATTTATAGCAGTGGAGCTGCTGGCGGCAAATTGTATTTCGTTAAACGATAACCCTCTGCATTTTGACACTGGGAAAATGCGCTGAGCAAAGATGCAAAGAACTCATTTGCAAGAGCACCACCTTGAGGGAAGATACATTTATTCATTGCAGCAGCTGACTATGAGCTGTGTAGTTTTGCATGAAAACTGCAATAACCTGGAGAGGCTCTATGAATTGTGTTAAAATATATGCTCCAAGTGAAACTCATTTTAACTGTATTTGCTTCATTTTACACTTTCATATAAGTGTAAAAGTCTTATTTATTGACTTCATGACTTTTACAATATACTTGACAATGCTATTGGGAGGGTGGTTGTGATAATGATGATAATAATAATAATAATAATAATAATAATAATAATACCACTCCGCCCATCTGGCTGGGTTTCTCCAGCACTATGGGGAAATGATAGTAACTAAGCAGTTCTATTGAAATCAATTTTTGCTTGATTTTATTTCTGCATAAAATTCAGTTCTAGTACCAGATGGGTAAAGATGGCTTTGGAAGTCGCATTGAAACTTCAAAAAGAGGATGCATGGGTGAGCCTGATTTTATTTTATTTTTTTGTCCAAACTAAATGTTAAAAATCCAGAGGAAATGAAGGGAAAAGAAAAGAAGGGAATATAAACATTATTCAACTCATCCACCCCAATATAACACCCAGCATGACTACTTTCTAGAAACCAACATTACATTCAGCCTTCAAATCCAAGGGAAGCCTGATTTTAGATCACCAATTCCTGGATGCATGTTTGGCTCATTGGCCAGATTGTGCATTCGGCCACCATTCTGGCAGTTCCCAGAAGCATGGAAAAGAGGCTGCATAGCTCAGAATCACCTCCCAGAAGTGTTGGACTGACCCATCTCCTTGTTTTCAGAGGGCCATGAAACTGGGCAGAGGGTTTTCCAGCCACTTCCCAAGAGCCTTCTGTCAGGGAGGGGCATGGATAGGAAAGAATCCCAAGAGTCTTGTGGTGCCTCAAAGCCTAACAAATGTATTCCAACACAAAGTTTATTCATGTAGAACCCTCTTCATCAGATGCATAAACTCGTGTTTTATTTTGGCACGTTTATTTATTTAGGGTATTGCTGTACTGCCTTTGATAATGCACATAAGTGAAATTTATTAAAAAGAAAATAACTACAAAACAGCAAAGACAACAGCAAGGCAACAAAAATAGTTAAAATACCAGAATGTCCTATACAATATCAGAGGGATATTAAACAAACAGGAGAATGGGAGAATGTTTTTGTTTTTGCATTTTTTATTCTTCAGTTTCACTTCATGCCCCAAAGATAAGAGTAAGCAGCAACAGTGGTTTTTTGGGGGGGCTCACCTTCTCCTTTCCCCCCGCATGCCTTGCCTCTGATGGGACAGGGACAGGCTTCTACAGCAGATCTTAACGTTTGGGCAAGTTGATGTGGGAGACAGCATTGGTTTAAGCATGGACACCTAATCGGATGAAGTGAGCTTTAGTTTTCGAGTTTGCAAAAGCTTACAGCACAATCCTATTTTCAGCCTTTAAGGAGCCACGGGACTCTTTTATGAATTCCTGTGGGCTTTCCAGTGACAGTGGTGTCTGTTAAGTGACAGGGGCTTCTCAGGATGCCCCCCTTACCTGCCAATGTTGATGTGGATTTCATTTGAGTGCATATGCCAGAATCCTTGCAGCAGGATGCCCCACTGGAGACCCAAGGCTGCAACGAGGAAGTTTATGCCAACACTGCTGAAGCCATATTTCTTCAGGAAAGTCATCAGGAAACCAAACCCAACAAATATCATCACATGAACATCCTGAAAGACTGGAAGGAAAAGGAAGACAATGTGTTGGGCCTATGATGGGTTGCATAAATTGAAAGCTAATAATGGCAACTTATTCCCAGTTACCCACCATGAAGAACCCTCTCTTTTCCCACAGAGCATATTTTTAAAACAAGTGCAGTCAATCATTTCTGAGAAAGCGGGTTCTCCTTCCTGGAGAGCACGTGTTGCGGTGGGGGCAACCAAGACATCCCTCTGTTGCTAGGCGGGTTAGTATAGAGGGCTACGATTCTGATTGGGAACCCCTCAGTCGTTGGAGAGAATTTGGTGTAGCAATTTTATGATTGACTGATGAGGGGCTATTTATTCCCTGCACTCAGCGTTGAGCTTCCTCTTTTCGCTGCGCACATTGGATCACCTGCCCACCCTCCCTATATTTAGGGCTGTTCGCATTGACCTTGCTATGCCTGTCATGGGGTCATCTGCTTTTGGGGCAGGGGCCTGGTAGGAATTTTGCCATTTGGCTGATGGGCTGGTGCCATTTGGTTTTTGCCTACTGCGTAGCAAATCATCACAACTTGTAAGGTTGAGGTTAGGCATTGGTGGAGGGGGTATGGTTGGCTGTGCCTGCCCCTCCAATGCTGCTGCTGCAAGGATATTCCATTAAAGGAATCCAGGTGCTCACCATGTTCTCGTCCAAGGGGCTAGGGCCACGCAAGAGCCCCTGGGAGCATTTGGGGAGAGGTGAGAGCCTGGCGCCCGGCTCTATGCTCTCCCCAAAATGTTTTCCCTTACTGACTTTCGCAGGCTTGCGGATGTCAGTTTTGTTCCTACCTCTAGGCTGGAACAGATAGTCGCAAACCAATGCCTAAGCAACCACTCACATGCTGTAATCAATAAAGTTGCGGCCAAAAATTATGCCCAAAACCTTTAACAAAAATTCTGTGTGAATTGTGTCTTTATCTGAGGGTGGCTATGGGGTCCTCGACAAGCAACAGGCACATGGGTAGAATATTCTCAAATATGGAAAATAAATTCCCAAACTCAGGAGTGTAACAAGGTGCATATTTCTGGGAATATATTGCAATATATTTTATAAAAAGAATTAACAGATATATTTTTTAAAATAACAGTTGCGTTGATATGTTTAAAATTCCACCTACTGTATTTTTTGCTCTATAAGACTCACTTTTTCCTTCCTAAAAAGTAAGGGGAAATGTGTGTGCGTCTTATGGAGCGAATGCAGGCTGCGCAGCTATCCCAGAAGCCAGAACAGCAAGATGGATGGCTGCTTTCACTGCACAGCGATCCCTCTTGCTGTTCTGGCTTCTGAGATTCAGAATATTTTTTTTCTTGTTTTCCTCCTCCAAAAACTAGGTGCGTCTTGTGGTCTGGTGCGTCTTATAGAGTGAAAAATACGGTATTTTCTTTTTGAGAATGGGAGTGGGGGACCTGATCCTTCCACGGCTGTTTGTGACCTTACGTAAGGGTATGTGGTCTCCAAAACTTTTCAAACAGAGCTGAGGAATTGATTAATTGTAATTAATTAATTAAACAAGTTTACATATTATAACTTGTGAAATGGCTGAGCGCTACATGAGTACTTGGTACCTTTGTAATAACACTTATTTTATGCCACCTTAAATAAACAGACACTTTAGCAAATTAATCCTGGTTTTATTGTTTATGGGACAGACCATTCTTAAAATTAACTCAATTGAATGCATATCTACTGAATCCTATTTAAAGGCTTCTGCAGAATAGATGATGAACTGCAGTAACATGACAAAAGCTATGCCTGGCTAAAGGACAGTAAGTTTCTTTCAGCATCAGTTAAAGCCCCCAAACCCAGTGACTCCGTAGTTTCAGGAGGAAAAGTACTCAAGCCAAAGGGTTAGAAGATAGTCATTCCTATATTGCCTGGCTGTTTTAATCTAGCAATTAGCCCTTGGGGTGTGAGAGCGGGCAGGAAAACGAGATAGGAGTTCAAAATGGTAAATGAGAATCCTCTGTGTCGTCTCTGAAGCCAGAAGATTTCAGATGCACAAGGCCTAAGACACTTTGAATCCTCAAATTCTGCAAAGCGGTTAGATGGAGTGAGACCTAAACAGAAACAAAACTTTAAATGACAACTTTGATGGGTGCAGCAGGAACAGGAGTCTCACATTATCACCACAGAAGTCTGCAACGTGCGGCAGAAGTGAGATAGAGCCTTCAGCACCTTTACGGCCATTTGATTTAAGGTGTGCAACATGCTCACCAGGAGACAAACCAAGAAGCTCTCCAACGTTAGTCTGTACTTGTGCACCATGGTGCAGCAATGCAAATAGCACCTTGCTGTACCAGAAAGCAAGTTTACGAACCAACAAAGCAGGCTTCTTCAAGAACTTGATGAGACGGGCACTATACAAAGGTAACAAATAGAAAACACTCACGTGGGTATACTTGTCTCCTGTCCACTGTGTCATATTTTACAAATAATCCAAATAAAATTATAATGACCACCTCCAAGAAAATGGCAAGTATGGGGAATTTGATCCTCATGGTTGTGAAGGAAGATGGATCTGTGTTGGCCAGCCTTGCAGCAGTCTGCGGACGAGTGATAATGAGAGAGAGAGGCTGAATGTTTATATTCCTTTGGGTTACAACAGAATGACATGGCAAAAACTTGCCCTTGCCCATGTCAAGCTCACTGAAAGGAGGACTTCACAAAAGTCTCCTGTCTCAGACTTTACAATTATTGTTATTTTTATATGCTGCTCTTCAAAAAACAAAAAACAAAAAAAAACCCAGGGAGGCAATATTCTGTGGGATATATAGGCTTGTAACCAAAGTAGCACTAAGTCATGGCAAGGATTCGGAACACTTTTTATTATTATTTCTAACTGGCCCCCCCCCCCCCCGCATATTGTTTAAAAGGTATAAAAATAGCCACTGAGGCTATAATCTGTCGGAAATGGTTTGTAGTACAAAGTTCAAATAACACTGCATGGTATTTCCCAATTTGGTTGCCAGAATTGTTTCTGGGTCCAACTCAAGGTGGTTTAAAGCCTCAGGTGCCTTAGGCCCCAAATATCTGCAAGACTCCATCTATCCCTAGTAGCCTTCTCAGGTATGAAGGTAACCACCCTTAAGTTGGTAATGGCACTCCAGGAGAGGGCCTTCTCTGTGGCAGCCCCTAAATTGTGGAACTGTAATGGTTTTATCCCCTTCATGGATCACTGCCTTGCCGTGGCGAAGGGGCTTGAAGAACTCAGAGAAGCTATGAACTATGCCGAGCAGGGCACCCAAGATGAACAGGTCATAGTGGAGAGTTTTGACCAAACGTGATCCACCTGGAGTAGGAACCGGCAAGCCACTCCAGTATCACTGCCAAGAAAACTCCATGGACAAAGACAACAGGCATATAAAAGTTATGACGCTGGAAGATGAGCCCCTCAGGTCGGAAGGTGTCCAACATGCTACTGGGGAAGAGCAGAGGACAAGTACAAGTAGATCCAGAGCTGATGAAGCGGCTGGGCCAAAGCCGAAAGGACGCTCAGTTGTGGATATGCATGGAAGCGAAAGGAAAGTCCAATGCTGTAAAGAAAAATATTGCATAGGAACCTGGAATGTAAGAACCATGAACCTGGGTAAGTTGGATGTGGTCAAAAATGAGATGGCAAGAATAAATATTGACATCCTGGGCATCAGTGAGCTAAAATGGACGGGAATGGGCGAATTCAGTTCGGATGACTATCATATCTACTACTGTGGGCAAGAAATCCGTAAAAGAAATGGAGTGGCCCTCATAGTCAACAAAAGAGTGGCGAAAGCTGTACTGGGATGCAGTCTCAAAAATGATAGAATGATCTCGATACGAATCCAAGGCAGACCTTTTAACATCACAGTAATCCAAGTTTATGCACCAACTACTGGTGCTGAAGAAACTGAAATTGACCAATTCTATGAAGACTTACAAGACCGTATAGAAGTGACACCAAAGAAGGATGTTCTTCTCATTATAGGGGATTGGAATGCTAAAGTAGGGAATTCAAAATGAAGCAAGGCAAAGGCTAATAGAGTTCTGTCAAGAGAACAAGCTGGTCATCACAAACACGCTTTTCCAACAACACAAGAGACGACTCTACACATGGACATCACCAGATGGGCAGCATCGAAATCAGATTGATTATATTCTCTGCAGCCAAAGATGGAGAAGCTCTATACAGTCAGCAAAAACAAGACCTGGAGCTGACTGTGGCTCAGATCATCAGCTTCTTATAGCAAAATTCAAGCTTAAACTGAAGAAAGTAGGAAAAACCACTGGGCCGGTAAGATACAATCTAAATCAAATCCCTTATGAATACACAGTGGAAGTGAGGAACAGGTTTAAGGATTTAGATTTGGTGGACAGAGTGCCTGAAGAACTATGGATGGAGGCTCGCAACATTATACAGGAGGCAGCAACTAAAACCATCCCAATGGAAAAGAAATGCAAGAAAGCAAAGTGGCTGTCCAACGAGGCCTTACAAATAGCGGGGTGAGAGAAGGCACGCAAAATGCAAGGGAGATAGTGAAAGATACAGGAAATTGAATGCAGATTTCCAAAGAATAGCAAGGAGAGACAAGAAGGCCTTCTTAAACGAGCAATGCAAAGAAATAGAGGAAAACAACAGAATGGGAAGAACCAGAGATCTGTTCAAGAAAATCGGAAATATGAAAGGAACATTTCGTACAAAGATTACCATAATAAAGGACAAAAGTGGTAAAGACCTAACTGAAGCAGAAGACATCAAGAAGAGGTGGCAAGAATACACAGAGGAATTATACCAGAAAGATATGGATGTCTCGTACACCCCAGGTAGTGTGGTTGCTGACCTTGAGCCAGACATCCTGGAGAGTGAAGTCAAATGGGCCTTAGAAAGCACTGCAAATAACAAGGCCAGTGGAAGTGATGGTATTCCAGCTGAACTATTTAAAATTTTAAAAGATGATGCTGTTAAGGTGCTACACTCAATATGCCAGCAAGTTTGGAAAACTCAGCAGTGGCCAGAGGATTGGAGAAGATCAGTCTACATCCCAATCCCAAAGAAAGGCAGTGCCAAAGAATGCTCAAACTACCGCACAATTTCACTCATTTCACATGCTAGCAAGGTTATGCTTAAAATTCTACAAGGAAGGCTCAAGCAGTATGTGGACCGAGAACTCCCAGAAGTGCAAGCTGGATTTAGAAGAGGCAGAGGAACCAGAGACCAAATTGCAAACATGCGCTGGATTATGGAGAAAGCTAGAGAGTTCCAGAAAGACATCTACTTCTGCTTCATTGACTATGCAAAAGCCTTTGACTGTGTCGACCACAGCAAACTATGGCAAGTTCTTAAAGAAATGGGAGTGCCTGATCACCTCATCTGTCTCCTGAGAAATCTCTATGTGGGACAAGAAGCTACAGTTAGAACTGGATATGGAACAACTGATTGGTTCAAAATTGGGAAAGGAGTACGGCAAGGCTGTATATTGTCTCCCTGCTTATTTAACTTATATGCAGAATTCATCATGCGAAAGGCTGGGCTGGATGAATCCCAAGCCGGAATTAAGATTGCTGGAAGAAATATCAACAACCTCAGATATGCAGATGACACAACCTTGATGGCAGAAAGTGAAGAGGAATTAAAGAAACTTTTAATGAGGGTGAAAGAGCAGAGCGCAAAATATGGTCTGAAGCTCAACATCAAAAACGAAGATCATGGCCACTGGGCCCATCACCTCCTGGCAAATAGAAGGGGAAGAAATGGAGGCAGTGAGAGATTTTACTTTCTTGGGCTCCATGATCACTGCAGATGGTGACAGCAGTCACGAAATTAAAAGACGCCTGCTCCTTGGGAGAAAGGCGATGGCAAACCTAGACAACATCTTAAATAGCAGAGACATCACCTTGCCAACAAAGGTCCGTATGGTAAAGGCCATGGTTTTCCCAGTAGTGATGTATGGAAGTGAGAGCTGGACCATAAAGAAGGCTGATCGCCGAAGAATTGATGCTTTTGAATTATGGTGCTGGAGGAGACTCTTGAGAGTCCCATGGACTGCAAGAAGATCAAACCTCTCCATTCTTAAGGAAATCAGCCCTGAGTGCTCACTGGAAGGACAGATCCTGAAGCTGAGGCTCCAATACTTTGGCCACCTCATGAGAAGAGAAGACTCCCTGGAAAAGACCCTGATGTTGGGAAAGATGGAGGGCACAAGAAGAAGGGGACGACAGAGAATGAGATGGTTGGATGGTGTTCTTGAAGCTACCAGCATGAGTTTGATCAAACTGCGGGAGGCAGTGGAGGACAGAAGTGCCTGGCGTGCTCTGGTCCATGGGGTCACGAAGAGTCGGACACGACTAAACGACTAAACAACAACAAATGGTTTTATACATGAGATAGATACAGATATATAGATATAGATAATAGGTGCCCAGAACCAGTGCTTTTTTTCAGACAGTACTCAGCGGTACACAGTACCAGCACTTTTTCATTTTTTTTCTCAAATATCCACATCCAGGAGACTATTATTACTACTGCTGCTGCTACAGAGGGAGAACTGTGCGGGGAGAGAGACTTTCTGTTCCTCATCACGCAATGGTGTTTCCCAGACCGTGAGTTTGAGAACAGCAGCCGCAGCAGCAGCTGAGAAGAGAGAAGTTTTAATAGTTTTATAATTTGCCTGTCCTTGTTTCTCAATTTGATCCTTTTACATGGTTTTGTATGCTTTGTGGTATTTTATGCATTGTGATTTGCTGTTATTTTTATTGATTATAGATTGGTAATTCTTTATTGTGGTTGATAAGTGTAAACTGCTTAATTTTTATTTGCTGGTGTTTAATTTTACTGTTTACTATTAGATTCTGATGGATTGTTTAAATGTTGCTTTGTTTGATATAAGTTGTTTATTTTGAAGTTATTGTGATCCTTTATATTGGATCAGATTGTTACTATTAATGTTTGATCTTTTTATGTGTTGGAAGCCACCCAGAGTAGCTGGGGCAACCCAAGATGGGCTTGGTATAAAGAATTATCGTTATTATTACTATTAGCACACTTTGGTGTTCTTATGTTTCGGGAGAGAAAGGGCTAGAGCAGGGTCCTCAAACAGGAGGCCAGTTCACTGTCCCTCAGACACTGTTGGGGGCCGGACTATAGTTTAGGGAAAAAATATGAATGATTTCCTATGCACACTGCACATATTTTATTTGTAGTGCACAAAAAACAGGAAAAACAATAAAATACTTACAATGAAGAACAATTTTAATCAACATAAACTTGGAAGTATTTCAATGGGTGTGTGTGTGTGTGAGAGAGAGAGAGAGAGAGAGAGAGAGGAGGGCGACCGAGTAAGAGGGAGGAAAGGAACGGGGCGCCACCTCAGGCTCTGGGCAGCAGTGGCAACATCTGGCTGCTCCTCCCTCATTGCCCTCCAGCGAGAGACCCGGCGCCCTGGGTCCAGCTGCGGCGCTGGTGACGGCCGCTGCGCCTTCGCGCTATGCCCACATTTCCACAAGCCTTTCTCAGTGATGGTGACGGCTCCTCTGGGCTTGGCTCCAGGCCTGGCTGGTCCATGGGCCGGTCCCTCCTCCTTCGGACCCGCTTTGCCCGGCAACTGAGGAGGAGGTGCATGTGTGGAGAAGGAGAAGCTGGGTAGGATTGCAGTCACCGCCAAACCGGTGGT